AGGGGGTAGCTTATTAGAGCCGCGACAGCGACCCCGACTCCACCTTGAAACCTCCGGCCAACCGCCGCCCTGCCAGAGTCTTACCACCTTGCTTCCTTCCATCTATCCTCTCCTACCACCTGTCTTCGACGCCCCATACACCCCCTTTCGTTGCGATCTCCTCATCTAACCAGTTCACGACCGTATAGTTCAAGCACCATGAAAAAGATGGTTCGAACGTAAAGGGTCGCATGGGACTAAAATACTTGGTGTTCCTCTTTAATCTTCAAAGAGATCGAACTACGAAAAGGACCATCTTCCACGTGATCGAAGGGCAGCATATATTTACGTAACGTTTTGCGAGGGATTTTAAATATACGCGATACTTTAACAACAATGCAGTTTAACTATAATAAATGTGCGTGAAGACTGCGCTCTTTTTTGTTGACAACTCCAGTGAAATATCTAGTTCTGACAGAACTCTGTCAGCCTCCTGAATGACAACAGCGGGATATACATATATATCCCTCGGGATATGTAGTTTCTTACGCAAGGACAGGACCGCACACGGTCTGATTTTGAAAGACGCAGACTTCCTCCTTCTCTCTAGAGGGTAGTTTTAAAATTCAACCCCATGCGAAGGACTAGGGGGGACGTGTGTTACACGGCACTCATATCAATCCCGAAGATCGATATGAAGTAATAGTTCGCGGCGTAGTGGAAGATAAATATTGGTTTCTAATATTTTTTCATTTATATCTCGTGGAAAAACAATGTTGTCGTTCTGAGATAATTATATTTATAGCGTATTATAGATTTATAATCTCACTAATGCTAGAATGAAATAACAAATGCTTTTCTACGTAACGTAAAAAAATCCGATTGAAATACTAGCGATTGAGATCAATGTAGTTATTCGGAGTCAAATTGACAACATAATTCTTTTCACGAAACGTTTTTATTTCCCTGTTTTCCAATTAATCACCTCCATGCACGACAAAATCATGGATTCTAGGTTACGTTCGAATGCATGTTGTGCATATCAGAAGCGGCTGGCCACGTCGCGCTAATCGTATCGATCGAGCACTCTTAATCCATTAATGAACTTCCCAGGCTCGTTTTACCCTGGGTATCCGGGCTTTTCGCAGGCGCCGTCTATATCTGTTACATCCCGCCGTTAAGTGTGTGTACATGTATGTGAGAGTATGCGCCTTTACTTCATGTACGGTCATTGACAAAAGTTTAAATTAAAATTCCTTTAATTATACTTTGATTTGTGGCTCTCTTTCTCTCTCTCTCTACGTAGATAATTTTTAATATCTCCTTATGCATTTATATCTTTATTATGTAATACCTCAGTAAAGAGAAATTGCTTAATTATGTGTAATGCATTATTTAAGACACACTAAACGTTGATAAATTTTAATTTTAAAGCATATGTAAGTTGAGTTTTTTAACATTTATGTCTTCATTTGTACACTTGGCAAATTAAATTTTTTGTGTATTTTGTTTTAGAAAGTTTTCCAACGCGGCAGTCATCGACACTTTTGACTACGACTCTACGAGCGTGCGTATGTATGTATTTGTATAATGCGACACTTTACAGACTCTTGTTGGTTGACAGTGATTTTCCATGGGATACAAAACTGTCGTTAGACCCTTTTGCGAAAAGGTCTGTCTCCAACCCTCGTACGCAGTTCACCTAAAACTTTTCCTACGAACCGCACACGAGGGTGTAACGCTGTGTATCGAAGGGTTAGAAATTTCTCATTGTTACCCCGTTATCTTTCTTCCATTCACGTCTGACACTTTGCTGAAATTTACGATTTTTGTTTCTTCCTTCTCGAACAATGAAAAGTAATGCGATATTAACTCTAGCACTTTGATACAAACGTATTATCACGCTTCGCTCAATCACACTTTCTTGATGACGATCAACCATGTGTCGACAATGTAAATTAAAATAATAAAAAGTATATATCTATTTTTTTGGCGGTCCTGGGCATCCTCTGTATGCAAAACTATAAAAATCGTTCGAAATTCCCTTCACAGAACCGCCAAACAAGCGATGAATCCCTTACGCCGCCTTCATCCGACAACAAATTCCTCAAATATTTATCTGTCTTGCACCCTCGAATCCCTCTAGTACGTCGCCCCAAACGCCACTTCCGTTTCGCACTCGGCGAATGTGTCAATTCTGACGCCTATCGACATATGACAAACACCCTTCTCGTCTTCTAGTTGTCGTCTTGTCGTTTCTGACATCCCTGACAATCGGGACAAAAGAACGATGAGAGAGGGAAAAAGATTGAGGGCGAAGATACGGCGATTTCCACATTTGTTCAAAGACTCATTTAATTTTTAGACTTTTTGGATTTAGCTTGTCAATATAGGTTTCTTGAAAATCAATTACCTAATATTTCAATATACATATTATTAATCTTTTAAAAAATTGTGGGCCACTAAGCGATACGCGATAGAAATACATTTTAAGTCGAGAAGTAGGCAAAAGAAATCCCATTTATCCTCTATGCCAGAGAGCGGAATCTTCGTCGATTAGATCGAATGTTCGTGACATGTCTCGCGCGCCGGCTGTGTGCAATTAATTTATTTTTCCCCGCTCGAGCGTTAATTGTTAAACTTAGATGGGCGGTCGTCGACGATTCCGCAGTTAGATTCCGAAATCGAAAGAAGGGGATGGCGAGCTGTTAAGAAGAGAGAGAGAGAGAGAGAGAGGAGGAGAGACAAGGATGCGACCGAACGTCCAATGTGGACGGGAGAGACGAAGAGGGATGATTGTACGAAAGACGATGGCAACAACGACGGAGAAGAGTCGAGGAGGGTTGCTGGTAGGCCGGCGTGGCGCGGCACGGCGGCAGACCGAGACGAGAGAATCGAGAAGTTCCGAAGGGAGGCGGGAAGCCAAGACGCGGCGCGACGGATAGATTGGGTTACTGAGATAATTAGAACGATGAGCGATGCACGCCTCGTTGAACGATTCTTTTTAGCCGGTCGGCGGTCGGTTTCCGTGTTTTCGAGAGCAAAGCGATAAAGAGGAACGAAAGTGCCCACTGAGGGAAGATACGATCGCTGAGCGTGCTACGCCCAAGAATCAAGACCAGGGAGCACGGCGTGTTTCCTCGTCAATAAGTCTCAACAACGAAGATATTACGGCACCCTAGTGACATATTTTTATGCGCCGCAGCTACGACGTCGGGCGATTGGTCGTTGAAGTCGGCGCCCCCGTGAGATCGCTTGACCGGAAATGTGTAGCCGTCGTAAAAACGTCCATGGCACGTTTGTCCGACCGGAATATTCATCGCGATTCTCCGCGAGGACGATATCCCTTGGCAATCTTCTTCATCGGCAGGATTTTTGGAAACGATCTGCCAGAGATACGTCGTACGCTGTGGGAAGTCTATTATCAGAAGCGAGGGATCCGTTTTCGTTTCGAGCTCGCATAGTTTTTAGATTATGCGCTTCCGCGCTCGACGTCGCGCTTGACTTTACTCTATTTGCGTTGAGGGACATCTGAATATTTAATCGGCTCTTCAACCTACCCCGCCTCCCTCGTTTCTCCGCAACCCCGCCTCTCGTCCGACTCTCAGTCCCAGTTGCGGTGAATTATTTAACGCCCGCAGGGAGACCGGTTACCTATACGAACCGACGTGTCAGCGAGATTTTAGTATTCTTTGTTTATGTTTCCCTGTCACGTACGATATCAATGACTGCGCAATTCTGAGCACCACTGTGCCATAAATTGCATCAATATGCAGTAATAATACTTGAAATGGGCCGAACATGTCATAAACTCAATTTATCAAAGGCGCAGTGGACGAATGATCAAATTAGCCAGACAATTACTTGCAGGAGGGAGGACTGAGGAGAGCAAAATAGAATATCATTTTTATTTTATACATTCTTTTAACACGTATGATTATACATCTAACGTTATTGTCACGAAGCAAATTTATATATCACAATTTACAATTGTGAGCGAATGCAAAAATGATGATTCTATTCTGCATTTAGATATTAACCGAAGAGAAAAGTTGAGCTTAATTCTGTCAGCGTGTATTTTTATCTCATTCGTGCATAGAAATGCTGAAATATTCCGGTCCAAGTAAGCCCGAAGACGGGGTGGCAAGATATTTACAGGAGTTTCCCAGTTCCCCTTGTTGAAACCAAATCGGTAAATGCGCAGGGCGATTGTTCGACAAATAGAGGTCGGGAGTAAATAATGTGCAAATACAATTCCTGCTGTGTATTGAAAGACGTAGTCTGCAGCTACGCGCACATTTTATCTATGATGAGAAAATCAAAATGTGATATTTGCACGATAGAAAAAAAAGATTGTTGAATTAAATTTTCAGATAATATCTAAATACGTACATATTTTCGCTTATAATACAAGTTATCGCTTCGTTTGAATATATACAAGGTTTATGATGAGTTGGAACGTAGCGCGTCTCGTGGAGGATGCCGGTACTATGCAGGCGACCATTTTTGAACGTGTATCGCTTAGCGAAGTATCTTACTTCCCTTCTACTGGTAACACATTTTCTCCGCATTATTTTTTAGTATTGCGAAAAATCGTGATGGAATTTTATGCTCAAGATATCTAACGTAATAACAACTTTGCGAGAAAGACGTTGCGGCCGTTTCTTTCTGCTCCATTTGTCCAAATATGTCGTCACATCATGGACGTTACCTTCCATCACCTCTTTCTTCCCATTGTTTGAATTTTTATTTTTCTAAACTGATTTTTACCTCAAACTATTGGCAAGTCTTGATGATTTGAACACTTTTATATTAATTAACCATATTACTATGCATACATGTTTTTTTACACACTTTAATGATGTATCATGTGAAGTTATACGTAGGTGAACTTAAGTAGAGTGCGCTAGGTTGTATTTCTCTGTTCTTTGTCGTGTGAAACGGCTTCGAGTTATGAATGCAAGAGCTCAAATGGTAAGTGCGAGAAAAAACTGTCATTGATCTGAAAATGACGCCATCGATTGTCAAATACGTCATGCATTGCTTGTCAGTAACCGTGATAGGCAGATGGTTATGTCTGCGAACTGATTTCGAGAGTTTATGGCTTCAAAGGAGATAACGTAACAGAGACTTATCGTAACGCGGCGCAGAGGCAGAGTCGATTTTAGTGATATAGCGACTCGGTTGAATGCAGCACCTTTATAATGGCGGAGGGGTCGGAATTGAGTTTTTTCGATTTACGCACGGTGCACGATCTTTTTGATCAAGCTCTCTTGGAAAATGATGATATCGATCTAAAAGCATACTTAGAGGCCTACAATGAACTGTACAAGTAAGTTGGAACACTGATTTGTCTTTTATCATTTTACATAACCTCACTGTCGTGCACGGCTTTCAAATCGTCAGGCTGTTGATTTATTACGGTTGGCGTTTGACGGGCAATCTTTGCGATATGTCAAAGTGATAAATAGTTCAAAATAAATATTTTACATTATTGCATTACAAATTTTAGTTGTATTATGTGTTGGTTTTGAGTATGAATTATTTATATTGCTTTTATACGAAATTTAATAAGTCAAAATTTAATTTGAAATTTATGTACTTGGAAATAAGTGAAGTATATGGCATATATGTATATAAAAATTGTAATTCTGTAATATTGTTAACAGATTAAATTTCTTTCGCCGCTATCTACCGTCACCTATTTACCTCGTTAACTCAGCAAATTAATTGTGTGTTATCTTTCATTAATCTATATCAGATTTGAGATTACATCTATAAGAGAATTATGTTTGTAACATGCTACGTGCACATTCAGATTTTTTCAGCTGATGGGCAGTGTCTTCAGCTTCGTCTCTTCTGATCTGAAGCACAAGATAGACGTCTTGACTGAGTTGACAAATAAAGATACTCAGAATTATACGACTATTAAATCTATGATTGAATATGAGAGAGAAAACAAACTTCTAGAGAAAGGCGATTTCGTTAATGGCGCACGTACTTTATTGCGACTACATAGAGGTTTAGGTATTGTATTGTTATATCCCTCGATAATCTTCAGAAATTCACGGTTATCTTACGTTGTTTCATCTTCTAGATTTTATTAAAGAATTTTTACAACAACTGGGTGACCTCTCAGATATTGATAAAACAGCTTGTTGCTGTCAAGACGCGTATAACAAGACCTTGGCCAAGCATCATCCATGGGTGATCAGAAAAGCTGCGATAGTTGCGATGTATACTATGCCTACCAGAGAGGCTCTATTGAAAAAGGTAAACCAGTTAATATTACAATTTTAACTAGCCAGTTAAATTAAATTAATGAGTGAATCCATATACCGTATTCTTTCCAACTTATCCTGTGCACCAGTTACATACCAGCCTTATAACACAGGTTAATCCCCGTAAGTGGAAGTGTTATCGTCAGTGAATTCACGTTTATAAATTATTTTAATAATGCTATACATTAGCATCTAATATGATAATCCCCCTCCCCCCTTAAACCGGTTAACTTATTTTACGATTACAAGTGATCTCTTGAAATAGTCCACTTCACATCTGCTCGACTCTCAGGTTTGCGGCGAACATGTCCAGCGGAATATAGATGTTTTGCCCAAAATGTTGGAGGTGACTGCCGATGTGTTCAACTGCACTGACAGCATTTATACGACTTACCAACTGCATGCTCTACCATAAACGAGAAAGTAAAAGCTATATTTTATTGACATTTTTGGCTTTTTCAAACACGGCACGTGACATTCCACATTTTCGAGATATTGTGATTTTATCTTGTTGCGATATTATCAAGATATTGTATAGTTAATATATTATCTTAATTTTTATTAGTAAATGAGCATGCTTACTTTTGGGAACATGCGTTTCTTTATAATCGATATGTATAATTATTATACACATTGACAACGTACAAACAATGGCACAAGCGTACAATAAGTAATATCACTCATGTAATATAACCTTGTCATCTCAACTTACAATTAGTATATGTCATTGCGCGCGAAATTAATTTTGTTAGGTTTAAGTATCGTTTCCCGTCGGAATCGGTAATTTCGTACGTGCTATTTATAAACTATACTTCGATGTTGTATAAAAACTTATTACTGATAAAAAGAATGTAATAAAGTTTATTTACCTCTCCTCTTACCGTCATCGTTGCAATATTATTTGCTTACAATTGCCTTGTAAGAGTAATTCTTTGCGTACCACTATTTCTTCTTAAAATGAAAGATTTTAAAGATGAGACCAAAATATGTGAATTTTAATACGATTGTATATAATATTGTGACACAATTTCTTAATATAACTTTTTAAATTATATTTAACGAAGTTAGTGTCGTTGAAGTGGAATTTGGTGTTGGCGTTGTAGCGTTTGTGGAGTATAATGAAGTATCCTCAATTAACATACCTGAAATAAAATTAAATGAAACTCGATAATGTAATATTCGATGCAACTTAAAGGAAGAGTCGTAATAGAAATTAGGATTTCAACTTTACCGGCGATGCTGGCTGTGAGAAAACAGACGGCGGTACCAGTAAAAAAAGCTCGCACAACGACATCAATTACTTGCTCTTTCTTCTCTGGCGCCAAAGATGAAAAAGTGCCGACCTGGATGCCAATTGAGCTTGGATTCGCGAAGCCGCAGATCGCGAATGTGGCTATTGCTTCCGATCTTCCGTATATTCGGCCCAGGTCCTTGTATTCGCCCAGCCTTTGATAAGCGACTAATTCATTCACCACTATCTTCAAACCTATCAACGTCCCCACGTCTTCGCAGTGTTCCCAAGGAACGCCCATGATCCAACTCAGTGGCATAAAAACTTTCGCCAATATCACCTGCAAAACTACAATTCTAAAATCTGTCCAAACGAATATACTTTTAAAAGGTGAAAACTTTTTTATATACCTCGAGACTTAGTTGTTCGTAACCAACCAGGCCACCGAACCATGAGAGTATTCCATTTACAAATGCAATGAAGGCCACAAAAGCTACGATATTCGCGACTATGCCCAAAACGATTGGGAGTGCGGCTAATGCGCCATTCGTTGCGGCATCCAAAATATTACTGTCCGACCTAATTATAATTCAAATTTTATTAACAGCGCCGTTATCAAGACCAACGATAATTGGATGATGATCGGTAAATAATAAGTGATTTATAAATTTTGAATTTAAAAAGCACTCACGATTTTTCAAGTTTAATATTTTCGAATTTCGTGACACTTTGCTCAGTTTCTGGATAAAATAACTTGGAATAGGCTAAAGCACTCGGTGCAGACATTATGGAAGCGGTTATTAAATGAGCCGGTTCAGCACCAAATTTTATATAAGCGGCTAATACTGAGCCTGCAATGAGTGGGCAAATACAATTATAAATTAGAATTTAATGCTATCGGTGACTTGTACTTATGAAATGTGTGCGACAAACCAGAAACCGTAGAAAATCCCGAGCCCAATATAGCATGAAGCTCAGAGGAAGTCAATTGATTGATATATGGTTTAATCAAAAGTGGGGATTCTGACTGAAAGACAAAACGAGTTTGCAGCTTTAAATTGGAATTAGAATAATAATTAGAACATTATGTGAATACAAACGAATTATTTGTAAGTTATTTAAATAATTTATACAATATTACCATTCCAATGAAAGGATTAGCAACGGTGGATAACGATTCACACAGCGTTGTGCCCATTATGCTTTGCAGAATCCATCCTAATTTTACGATGATCCACTGCATTGTACCCAGATAGCACATAATTTGTGTTATGAAGCTAAAGAAAAAAATCACAGGCAGCACCTATATAATGGAGCAATCTATATTAATAATTTGCAATGATACAAAAAATTAGAAATTAAACGAAAGTGCTTACAAAAATTAATAAAGCAACGAAAAAATTTTCCAATGATAAAATTAATTATTTTATATCTCTAAATATAAATAATTAGAATTGCGAGTTAACTAACGGCAAAAGCAAAGACTCCTTTCTTGACTATGTCTTCTGAGAATACAAAGCTAGCGCCAGCTTTAGCGTAATCCAAGAAAGCGGCCACTTTGTCAGACACGCATTGGAAAATGCTGCGACCAACAGGCCATCGAAGTGTGACAAGTCCAAGCATAAATTGTAATATCAAGCCCCAAATAACAGGTCTCCAATTGACCTATATATACATAGATTTAGTAAAATTAATGGAAAAATTAGAAGCCACAATAAATGAGGGAGATTATTTTATGTTTCATTAAAAGAATTTAGATTTTTAGATTTTAGATTTTAGAAGAAAAGAAATTTGTCATTTTAGATATGCACTTGGGATTTTTTTCTCTTCTCTTCTGGAAAATAGAACACCTTGAGTTGTATACTACATACAAAAAGTTTATAAACAAGAGATCTGCGTGCATTAAGTACATTAGACGATTTAATGAAGTGGGTTAATTCCAGCGGAATTGGCGACGCGTCTACCCACATGCCTCCAGCAATTTTCCCTGGTACTACTCGTGTCATAATAATTGGAACGCGTTCGAGCCGATGCGACAGATGGGAATAATTATTACAATAAAGTGTAAAATAAATCAATTATTCTCTCGTAAACTTGTTTCAAACAATAGTGAAAAGAAATCTATTCTTTATCAGTGTAAGAATTGATAAGTATGATCGCAGATTTGTAATAACAATTTAAACACTTGAGCTTTAAGATATGATCTACTTGCCTGTCCCGGATGTTTAGAGAATATCCAACCTAATCCCAACAAGAAGATAACACAGAGAATACTAATCAGCCTCTCTCTTGAATTTACGGTATCGATGATAAGAAAAGTAATGATAGCTATTAGTATAATTAAGTAGAAAACCGTCGCTCCGATGCGCGTCCCATATCTGGAAATTTTCACGTTGTTGTAAATTGATAAATAATTTCTCTTTCTATTAACAGATAAAATAATATTAATTTCTTACTTGGTACTTTGTAAGCGCTTTAAAGAATTTATTGCTGGTTGACAGCATTGTAAAATGTACTTCCCAAAATATCGTTTTATAATCAAAAAATAAAATAAACCAAAATAAATAAGTCCTGTAAGGATGAGCAGAAACCCAAAGCCTTCGCACCATTGAAAATCGCAATTTGCATTTTTTTCTAAAATGTAAAACGCATTGTATCGTTATGTCACTATGTACATTTAACTGATACTTTATCAGTCAGTTACGATTGAATTCTGTTGAAATAAATGAACTCACGTTTATTTTTCCAATATATGCCTGCAAAGACTAAATAGACTATGATAAGAAGATTTAAAACTATCAAGCCAAAGATCTTAAAAACCCTTTGATGTTTTGAGAGATAAGCATTGATTGCATTACTGTTAGTCGCCCAAGGCTTTCTTGCTTCACGATAAGAATTAGTATTCTGCATGAAAACGATGTTATATGTTAATATTAATATTGCTTTGAATTATTATTATGCTGTGTAAAATTTTCAATAGCAACAATGTAAAGTTACTAGTGCTCTATTTATTTTAATTTCCAAAAAGTGAATATATAAATAACGTTACGTTAGTTAGTATAGTACTACTTATATATGAAATTGTTTATGTGCTAAAAACTGTAGACGATTGAACACGTCAAACTAAACTATTCTTTCGTTATGCTGGTAAAATGAAAATATGCTTACCTGATGCATAATAGGTTCACTTCGCTGGCGACCATCTTCTAATGTATTTAATTGAGTGTCCTATTGATTAAAAGTATATAACAAACTTTTTCTCTAATCACATTTTATTTATCAAATAAACATAACAGTTAGAAGAAATTATGTAAAAGGTGATATAAGTATTTTAATATTTAATGAAAATAATACGTAGAAAAAATTTTTCAATTTTAAATAATAAAAAATATTTTGAATATGTAGAAAATCTCACTGATTACAATTTATGAATTATTTAATGAAACTTATTGACAATAAAAGAGAAATTACTTCAAATGCCAGATTTGCCCTTCCAGACATGTCACTTGCTTTTCACCTCACTTTATTAAAATATATGTACATATATGTTTTCCTTTCGAGGCTCTTTTCGTTTTCTACTGACACAAAATGAAAGAATGTGTTCGCCGACATCCGTCGAAATAATAAATAAATTCTCGTACACCTTGCAATCTCATTGAAATCGCACGAGTAGATAGCGTTGATAACAAGATGTTATTGTAGAAAACGTTTGACTGTAATTTGAATGTACGTAGATAATCGGCACACTATTACAATTTTTATATATCAAGTGACAGAAAGTATACTATAAGTATCTGAAATTGATTGCAAATTGATTCCTATTAAGTCGCTTTTCTAACTCAGAAAATTGATAAAACTTTTATTTAGATTTTATCACAATTTTAGTATCAATTAATCAATAAATTTCAGTATCAGGTTATCTACACATGACGTTTCACGATAAATACTTATACTACACGATTTAATGCAGAAAAATGCAATGGCAGAAACAATATTTACTTATATACACTGTAAAAACACTAGGAATATTACTGTATAACTACGTGCAACTTGATAAGACGCCCGAAGAACTACTGAAAATCGGTGACAAGTTATAGCCGTTGTACAAGGCACAACGAGGTACGAGGAATACGAGTGGGGATACTCCCTTCTTACTGACATTTTAAATGAAAAAACATAATGCGAATCGTCTTTTGTAATCTTATGATGGATTTTGCTGAGATATGGAATGTCTCAGATTCAACACATTTCCTTTCACTTATAAAGTCTTGTCAGCGATTGTCTTGGAATAAATTTTTTAAATCTTCATATATCTCTGACGATTGCAAAATTTATTGCAGCTGATTAGATATATTTCATTAAAAGAGTTTTAGATAAATGTTTTCACGAACAAGTTAATTTGAAACATCAATTTGAGCATTTTAACATTTATGATTCACGAAGATAGAAGAATATTTTTTGTAAAATATATAATATACAAGATGTTTTTTCATATGTATAAGATTTTAATTATAAATCTCGTTGCTCGTGTTGTATATCTTAAAATATATGTACGTATTTTATAAATACTTCCAGTTAAGTGGCAATAGTTTTTTCACGTGTATCTAAAAACATTTACACAATGTCTGAAATTATACAGTACCATTTATATAATTTATATAATTTCTTACATCATCGTTGTTTAACGCCCTTAAAATTTTTGGCCACTTCCGAGTGTGATATAATAATCCTACTTACTTCGTGCAACGATACGGTGACTGTTTATCTTTTAAATTATTATAGTCGCCCAAAACACTTGAAACATTTTGACGGAAATGATTTTACATTTCCTGTTTTTACATTTATCAATCGAATCATTAATGGAGACAGATTCTTTTCAAATTTATCTCGATAACAAGGAACAAATGGCAAAGAGTGATTGTTTAATTTGATTGAATGATGTCAAGAAGGAAATAGAGGATATCGAAATGCGCCTTGTTTCGTGTCATTTTCACGTATGTACATACCATATGTGCGACCATAGCGCAACGTGCTTAACGGATCACTAAGGTCTGACACGTGAAATGCAATCTAAACAGGTGCATAAAAATTCCTGCGCCGGCACGACTTAGATGCACAAGCGTGCAGCTAATTTGTATTGTCGATGAACTGGACGAGACGTGGAAACTGGAGAACTAAACCGGAAGACGAGGCCATGTGCATCGCACGATCCGTAGCCGTAACAAAGGAAAAAAAAGCGTTTTAAAATGGACGTTATGTAATCGCGTATAATGACCGTGGCATAATTGCGAGAAACATTTTTGTTTCCTGAACGATAAAAAAGCATTGTTTGATAGTAAAAGACCTACCTATATACATTTTGACGATATTACGACAGCCAATGCGAGGTCACTTGAATACGCTTAGCGATAATGTGGTATATTATCGTAATTGTTATTTGTTATTTACCAAGAAGTTCGAACTTTAATATGCACCATAATGCACCAATTAGGTCTGTACTGTATGTAATATGGTATGTACATTGCACCATAAATATTTTGATAATAATTTTAAATTAAGTACGATTCATCGCCATTATTTATAACTTGTTTACATAACTATGATTAAAAATACACGCACCTTGGAGGAACATGCCTTAACATACAAAAAAAAAGAATTTTTGATAAATGTCAGACACATGAATATTAAACTGTTGTTCGTATTCATAAAAATATATTTATGCAAAGAGTAGCTATTAATATGAAACGATTTAAATAAGAAAGTTTAACAATTAGAAGTATTATATTACATGTTATATAAGAGAGCTTACAACGTAATTGTATAGACGTCGTAAATTGTGACAATATCTCAATGCTATTTGTTCGGTGCGATTTTTAGATAAACTGTGATTTGATACGACGCGATAAAGTCACGGCAAACCTACAGTTCATATTTAATTTCATTTAGCAGCGCGATTAAACGTCTGATAATAAGAATTATTACAGGGAAGCAGAAACACGCCTATACATGGATTTAAATCTAATAATTCTTATCATCAAACGTTTGATCGTATTATGTCGAATTGCTAATTGAAATAGATATCGAGTATAAGTTTGCCTTAACTTTATTATGCTGTATCGTCGAATTGAGTAATCAATCCTAAATTAGTTACAGCTAAAATTTAGCTTCAAGCTAAAAATAAAAGTCATTTCGCATGACCTATGATATCCTGCATGTTTACTATTAAATCTATACAGAGCTATAGAGTGTCCTGTAAATCATGAAGCAGGAAGTCCGAGTAATCGGAGGCTCTCAAGGCTAAACTGTCTGGCTGCTGGCGAGGAACAAAAAAATCGGGAAGATGAGCTTATCTCGTCGAGACGACGCGACGAGAGAACATTATTTTGCCGAGAATCATGTTCGAATTTTTGTTTGAAGCGATGCGCGACGGATCGAGTTCTTCCTCGCTGTAAGCGTTCTCCCTTCCGTTTGATAAAGTCAAGTTACTTAATTCTATTTCTCGGACGAGACCATTGTAAGGTGTAAGATAGTGTTGTTCCGTAGAGATAACTGTTTTTTTAAGTCGCGCTACCATTTCCTCGATCGTTTTCGATTTATACACTCTGTATATTGGAAATAGCGGAGTTTTATAAATTAGTATTAGGCAAATGTTGTGATTAGATCAGCGTAATGGTTACGATATAAACAGAAACAATTCTCGCCGACGTAAGGCCTGCTTTTACTGGTGGATTATATTCCGCTTGGACTCCCTTTTCGACACTGTCACATAACGTATTAATGTGTTTAGTCTGCCGAATGTTTTAGACTTCGTGGTATTTACAAATGGTATGGCCCGTTTGCTACTCCAGGAAGGGGACAAAGGTTTTGGAGAGGAATGAAATTAGTCCTAAGCAGAGTTTTATGTAGATAAAGTTGAAATCATCTAGATAAAGATAAGATTAGACATATAAAATTTTATCTTAGATAAGATATAGATTATTTATTTCTAGTTTATCTAGATAATAGATGAAATTATAAGCATTTTATCAAGATGATTTCAAGATAACATTGCTTTAAAAAGTAATTAAAGAAAAAATAAAAATTATATATTTATAAATCTATTAAAAAGGCAGGATTATATTTAATTGGCTTATAAAAGAATAATGTACAATTACATTTATAAAAATATTGCAATAGTTGTGCACAATGTATTGAGAAAATTTAATTTACATATCAAAAATTACAAATATTCTAACAGATAATGCTACAAATTTTAATGCTAAATCATTTAGATGCTTTAGCATCACATATGAAAATTGTGATCAAAATTGACTCACATTAGAAGCAAATAAAGATTTGAACAGTATGGAATAGTGTGAATCATATTCAGATATTGAAACTAATAAATTTGAAATATTAATTTCTTCAAATACTAATAATGTTGTACATGGAAATGATAATTGTTTGTATGAATTTCGGATAAACTAGGAAATGAAATTATTTACCAATGATAAATAATGGGTTAAACCTTATAGCCACGAAATACTGAGTTCTGCTGAATGCAACCATTTTCTTAGATAATTTCAAACAGATAACGTATTTTTAAATCTAAGATAAAGATGTAGATAATACGTTTCATTCTTATCTAGATAAAGATGAGATAAGGAAACAACCTTATCTAGATGATCATCTAGATAATTTCATCTAGATAACAGAAAACACTGGTCCTAAGCTATTTTTTTATCTTACATAATTACGCGAAATCGTTACACAAGAAACGATTGAGATAAGAAGAGTTTCCATTCATCAACTATGTTCTATTTATTGGGTTGCGCGGCATATTTACACTGCTTCATTCGACCACCATAAGTTCAGAATATATATTTAGGCAGAATCTCTTTTTATTTACGTCTGTCTTACCGCGCGGCCTTGATAACTCTATGCGAAAATTATTCTATTTTCTATATGCACGTAGTGGCTAGGCGAGCCAGCTTTAGATTTCTGGCGTCACGCCAAAAGCAACATAAATAGCCAAATTTGAAAAACATATATCTCGTGCCCTCATGGCCAACTACCGTCGCGTTTTGCGATATTAATTCACGTCTGTGAATGGTTTGAAACGCCATCGTATCAACGTCGAATAATATCGCGGTTCTCCGAGTCGAATCCGATGCGCGGGCTCCCTGCCTCGCGCGCGGAAACAGTACCTGCTGATTTGCGTGATACTGGTCACACGAGAACGCAGGAAAATTAAATATTCCGCAAAATTCCATCACCCCCTTCTCCTTCATTACCCTATACACCTCGCCCGCCTTCGCCCATTTCAAACGTCGCTTTGGAACGACTCGTTTGCGTCGTCACATCGATGTCTCGTCATTTCTTATCGGCTCCCTTGGCTTAAAAACAAGAGCGTCGAATTTAACCATTTCATTAGAACAGAAATACGTACACAACTTTGTCTGGCCGTTTAAGACTTGAATTACAGACAGATGAATTTTATACCGTCAGCTTCAGCAGCTTCGTGTGTGTGGGTGCGTGCGTGCGTGCGTGCGTCTTAGGCCTGGTTTCACCGAACGTTCCTTAACTTTAATCCCAGCTGTTATAAATTAATATAACTCTTCTACTTTTCTAACATAACTTTGTGGTATAATTAATAGAATATTTTGCAGTTTATTGCGTCGAGAGGGCGTCGTGGCACCGATCGAAATATTAGGTACAAGTTGGAGTTACATAATCGCGATGCGCGCCGACGGAATCGGTTGTCGCGTACGTGGCATAATTCGTGATTAGGCATCTCGTCATTATGCGATTTAACCAGACGGAACGCATACGTAACTGGGCGTACGCGCTTCCTTCCTCGTGTTCTCGTGTTTCTTCTTTACTCTCGTTTCGTTGGAATGCCGATTCATCCGTCATCGTCTAGCAGCACGCGACACCCTTCGGCGGCTATACAGATCGTGTTCCACCTTGTAATTCTCCTGCACCACTTCCGACATTCGCCTTCCACCTTTATCTATTTCATTGTTGTATATTTCACTTGAAAATGGGAACTCTATTTTGTCAATTTATTTCAACAATTTTGGAATCAATTGTTTGTTACACGCGGATCTATATTGAATTGTATACTATTTCTGATCGTGCTGTTAAATTTAGTGGTCTATGATATATACGTGCGCGTTTGCCTCTATGACGTACGGCTTGCTCGTTTGAAAAATGCACGCTCGCAGGAAGTTTACGCTTAGAAAGTTTCTAAAAGTGCGCCTCGCATTCCGGTGTGTTAAAGTGTACGTCTGCGCAACGGAAGAAGCGTGAAATATCGAAAAGTCGAGAAGCAACGGTGAGCTAGGGATAAAGAGGGGGTAGACAGGGAGATCTCTTCTCCGGCGATTTGCGTGTTCCCGATAGGCAGGTATTGGTTTTAAAATGACCGTCTGGCCTGAAGACGATTGCGTTGCGCGCCCACGCGTGGGTGCCGACGCGCGGATTGCGCAATCCACTCCGAAATTCAAATCCCGATTCCACGAAGCGATCGAAGAATCGGGAAGGCGGAGAACGTAGTATCCCCTGACGGATCCCGAGAAGAGAGACCTTATCTTGATTGCCGTCTGCCTCCGTTCTCTCGCAGGCGAAGACGTCGAGGGCCGAGTGTTGGCCGGGGAGACGATGCAAATTGCACGATTTCCATTTCTTTTTTCTTCTGTTTCTGCATCTTCCTCCTGCCCCGTTACCTACCGCTACCATCGCCAGAGCCGTCTCTCGCGAGTCCTCGCGCCGCGCCGCGCCGCGGTCCGATTGGCCGGCCAGCGTCGATGGAATTCCTTTTTTTTAAAATTCTGATCGGAAGAGACGAGCATAAGGCGGAATAATTTGGCGCGCGTGGGCAGAGCGTCTTAAATTCTCACTCGAACGTTCCTCGTCTCGAGGGGGCGGGAGGAGGGAGAGGCGGGAGGGAGAGAGCGAGAGAGATAGAGAGAAGGCCCAGAGGAGAGAAGACTCTGTCATTAGGGAAGGCGTATCTCGGATGCACCGCGCCGCGACTTCAACTTCACGCCAGGTGAGACCGTGTTCTCCGAGAGACCAGAAGCCCGCTGTTTACGCGCGGCTTTTTCTGCCGCTGCCGGGATGTTGTCTGCGTCGCCATCCAACAGCCGACGTTCCACGCATGTTATCCTCCTCCCCGGGCTATGAAAACAATTCCACGAAACACCGTCGGACATATTACGTCGGTTGTTATGATCGAGTCCCATGATCGCGATTGCGAGAAACCCCCCCCCCCCCGCATTCGTTTTCGATCTCTCCTTTATTTAATAAAGAAACCCTTCGCGCTGACGGATACGTTCGATGATCGAATTAAGCGGCAGTCGAGCGAGCCGGGCCGACCAGTCGACATTTTTGTCAGTCGCCAATTAATTAATGTCAGGTGACGAATAGTTTTCAACAGACTTGTTTATTGCCGCTCCGCGCGGTCTGATCGACGCGTCGCTTGATGAATCGAGCGGGGGGACTCTCGTGTCTCTCGCTCGGACGGTTCTTCGCAGCATCCCCCATGAGCAGCCAACAGGAGGCGGAGGGACATGCTACCGATAAGGACGACAAACGACGAGTATTACGAGTGTGCGAAACAACAATTTCACTTGGCGAGGCGAGGTCCCGCGCATTATTTATTTTGGTACGTCTAGACGCCAGATTGTCTGTCCGCATGTCCGATCCGCGACGGAGAATTCGGTGGTGACGTCAGGCAGCCGTTGCATCGCCGCCGCCGTCACCGCGCCATTCTCTCGAACGCGAGATCAAATTGCATCGTGTGTCTCTCCTTCGCTCACCCTATAACCCTCCGACGTACATGTCGCACGCAGTTAAGCCCGCGTGTCTGCACGCCCGCGCGTGATCGCACGTGGGTACTTTATGTGCCCGACGTGTCTTCCGAGTCTGAGGGCCGGTTTCACCAACGTCGCGTAACTTTAACCTTAGCTTAACTCATCCTTTGTCTCTCTCTAAGGGGGACAGAAGCGAGAAATAACGGTGGCTTTACCGATTCACTCTTCCCACTTCAGACTAGAGCTAGAAATAGCCAGTTTCACTAACGTTGGTTAATTTTGACCGCTGATTCGCGGTCCTCTAGTTCTAGTTCCAGTTACAGAAAGTAGCGAGACTGAGGCAGACTGAATATTGTATTTTGTTCCAAATTTTTTTAGTTAAAATAAAAGAGGATCGTGTCCTTTGACGAGAATAATCTCGTTCCAATTCTAGTGAAAAGAAGCGATTTCAAGACCTGCGTCAAGTTAGCACCCCATTTTTTATTTCAAATTTCTAAAACTTGTTCCAGGTTGCTCTAGACTTGTACTAAATTGTTCCAGAAGATCAAATTTATATAATATAAGAATTTCAAGTTTATGGTGCTTAGAGAGTACACACATTCGATCTGCACAAATCACACGTTCATACGTAATTTAAGTCTGTACTGTGTGCGAGATTAAGTACAAGGTATGAAAAAGGTGTGTGTGTGTGTGTCTGAGACACCGTAATGCACTTCCTTCGACACACGTGCTCCTACGTCGACCAGCCCGGTTTGAACAGGGGTGAATAAGTGGCTACGTCGTCGGTCTCGATTCATCGATTTGTTTATGTGGCAACCGTTCTGTTTTTTTTTCTCATCACAATTCACGGTTCCCGCGTGCATTATGTTACATTTTTCGAAATATTATAACGACAGTGTGTGCCAATAAATACAGATAAAATGAGAGATATACCTAATATAATAGCTTCATTAGATTAGCGAAAAATTTGTCGGAGGAAAGTTCTCTATTATGACATAGGGTCCTAATATGAAACAGCGGGGTTTCTGTTAAATTAGTAGACATCATCAGTTGATTCCACCATGAATTTATCATTAGATTGTGTAATCCTTGCGAAAAAGGATTTGTGATTGAATTTGGGTGTTGAAAACCTGCTATCTCGTATTAGAAACCTATCTCATAATAGAGGACTCTATGAATTGTACAAAATTGTCGTGACATGTTCGCTCGTAGCCTTTTTGGGGGGGTAGGAATGAGAACTTTACGCACGTGTCTGTTCTTAATACGGTCCAGACTTTCCGTCCTCGAATATGATAATCGGTCTCTTCGTAAAAGTAGGTTACAAAACATTGTTTTTACTTTACAATATGCCAAAGATAAATTGCAGTCGATTTAAAAACGTACAAATACTTCTTCTACCACAAACTCGATTTCATGAAACTTACAAGTTGATTCTTACGTGTTTTCATCGTTGGTTTAATCCTTTATTAAATCGCTGATTAACTTGGAGTCAGACTGTGATGATTAAGAGCAATCGAAGTTTGCGAATCTCCATCGAAGATTTCCGCACGTGGAAGCAAATTGAATATGTCACGGCCGCCGCCTCTTTCTCTTTTTTTTTATTCTTCCTGTTTTTTCTTTTTTAGACTTGCGCCGTCTGCGTACGTTGCCACGCATCGTATTTTCACGCACGCACGCGGAGGCTGCATTTATTAAAAGCGATACATTATGATTCAAAGATTATATCTTTTTCGTCTAGACAGCGGAGAGGGAGGCACCCTATAAAGTCGTACGCGGCTGCCCCTGAAACAAGCATCCGAATACGACGAGCCTCCTCGTACATTTCTCTGGTGTAAGCCTCGTGTGCTCCCGTCGTACATCGTTATACCTGCTACTCCTTTTTTTCCGTCAGTTCTCTCGCATTTCGTCGTAACGTTCCCTGAAGCCGTTCGATCAGAGGAACTCTATCTTGCCGAACCACCGAGACTTCGTGGAAAGAGACAAAGAGGGGAGAAACTCTTTCTCTTTTCGTTGCTTTGACGCTAATCGGAATATATGAGAGCGACGGTGCTTTGGCTAAAAAGAGGCCACGATTCGATCGAGTTATCGCACGGTAGGAGATCGAGATCGATTTTTTTTGATAGCGAAAGCCCGGCGCGCGCGCGTAGAGCATCATTTGCGGTCGCGGTGAAAGGAGGAAAAAATTTGACAATATTCACCTGCCACAGAGCCACATGTATACCACGTCAGTATAGAGATTGATGAGTGCCACGTGAGTATTTGCACGATCGAGGCGCGCAGCCGAGACGAGACGAGATTCGCGAAATTTGAAATGACCGGTAGAGATATCACAGGTAAGTGAAGCTGAGGGAAAGAAGATCGGGAGAATCGCGGAAATTTGGTCAAGGAACCAATTCGATTCGGCACGATTTCTGGTAATAATCAACGGGAGGTGGATGCGCGCCGCGAGGAAGAATATAAAAAAAGTGTACGAAAAAGAAGAGGAAACGGTGGCGAAGGAGGGGGAGGGGGGGCAGAAGAAGAAAGAGGTAAAACGTCGCGAGGAGAGAAAAGGCTGTCCTCCGCGGGATTTCGGTGCGCGAGGAAAAGGGGTTACCCGGGTTTGAACGAGTGGAGGAGAAAGAGTGGAGCCGACGTGAGAGGCAACGGTGGTGGAGAGAGAGAGAGAGAGAGGGAGGGAGGGAGAGAGGGAGAGAAAGAGAGAGAGAGAGAAAGAGACCGAGAGAGAGAAAGAGACCGAGAGGGAGAAAGAAAGAGAGGGATAGAGAGGGAGGAGAGGGAAGAAAAAAGGAGTCATCGTAGTAACACACCGGCGCGTCTCCTCTCGCGGCTTCGTGGTTGTCTCGGAATTAGTGAGTAGACAGAATTATGTCTGTGAGCTGGCCAGCACGGCTCAGTTGAGACTTACTGCTCAGAGCGTGCACACGCATACTACGAATCCTTCCTACTTACGCACCTCGCGCCTTCCTCGTGCGATTAGAACTTAGTTCGCGACTGCCGGCAGACCAATCACGGTCCATTTTACCACCGCGCCTCCGTACGAAACGGTGCCTTCTGCTCCTTCTTCTTCTTCTTTTTCTTCTTCATGTGTCGGACGTGTTGCAGAGTTCCCTCGTTTGAAGAAGTGCCAGGCAGCTAGGTGACGGAATAGCACGGAGCACCCACCCGCAACGGTGACGTATCCAACTCCCGAAGAAATTTTCACGAAATTTCGGAGAACCAGAAGACACGCGATTAACAGGAGATTTCTTCATCTCGTTGTCATCTTCCTCCGTGATTCTGCGAGGTGAGCGAGACACAAATCGGGAATAGAGACTAATATATCATATCGATACGATATCGAATCGTTTGTCAATGAGCTTTGAGGATTTAACGGCGAGAAGATATCGACGAGACATTCTCTTGAAAAGCTGTCGGTTATTTTCTTCCGGAAACTTGGAGATTTTTCGTAAGCTGCAACCGTCAAGCACGACGAAATTTTCGGGACACTTGACACTTTTTTTCCAGTGAATCATCCACTCGGGTTTAAAATTATCTTTGGAGACAAACTCGAACATTCCAAGCCGTTTGATTTCTCGTACGATTATTTAAGAGAGTCTAGAACACGAGTGCTTCGATCGTCGTTGTAGTCGAATATCGTTCGAGTGCATAAATTTCTCGGTCAATTTTTCATAAGTTACGACAATGAACATTGCATCCTTCGTGCTTTTCTTATTGATATCCATCACGACCAATGCGTGGTCTCATCGTCATCACCACCACCACCATCATCATGAATATTATCCAGAACATAAAAAAGAAAGTAGTCGCGTAAGTTTTGTCGAACAAAAATCCAGCTTTGGAAATGAAGAAACCACAGATACTGTACAATCTGAAATATCCAAGAAAAGTAAAGAATACTCAGAGGTCTTAGAAAGCAAAGGATCAATTCCCTTCAGCGCTCGAAGATTAGAGAAAATGTTGGAGAAGGCAATCCTGAAGATAATCACAGGTGATCTCGGCACGCCAGAGATGCTGCTGCTGAAGAGCTTGAATTACACGCCGGAAGAAGTGCTGGCGATTCGCGAGCGGGAACTTGATAAGCGAAGGGATGAAGAATTGAGAAAAATAGAAGAATCCGATGGAAAAAAATACGATGAAAATCTATATAGAGACAAAGCGAAGCATTGGAACTATAATTCGATGGAAGTTGAGTCGTCCTCCCGTAACGACCCCGACGTAGACGTGTCGAGGCATGAGAGGAAGAAGAACCTATACAAGGGGAAAGCCTCCTACGACAAGGATTTTGACTTTGACGCTTATAACCGCCAGGCGGTAATCGATTACGAAAACTTGGCTTCCAAACATGAGCTGCAGCAATCGTGGTCTGAACCTGCAGATTTGGATTACGAGGACGAGGTGAAAAACTCCCAAGAGCAGAACCCACCGCAAAACATTCATCGAAGCTTCGACCGAGCCATGGAGCCTCACGTCATCTTCAAGATCCCCTACGACGATTCCGAGTTCGATTCCAGTTTCGGATCCGAGGAAAAGTCGAAATTTATAGACAGAGACGCCCTTGTTTTGTCCAAGGGTCTGAAACATCGCATTCCTTCGACCTTGAGACACACGACTGCGAGGAATGTTGCAAACTCCTTTCACGCTTCGTCATTGTCTACTTCTTCTTCTTCTTCTTCGTCTGCTTCTTCTGCGGCTACTGGGTACACTCCACTTCCCATAGTATACCAGCTGAGGAATTTTAAAGGCATCAGGCCAGATTACACGCAGAATCAACCTTCTAGCACTCCGACGGAGTTTCCGGAACCTAACATCACGAGCACTGTTATTACAAATGTTACATCAAACGCAACTTCCAATGCAACAGATTTCGCTGGTTCAGCCAACGACAATAAACCGTCTGTCACAAACGCAGACAATACGACCAACAAGAAAATGGGCGAGTTCGAGGGGCTGGAATGGATCGGAGACGATATTTATAGGGTGATACCGGCTTTTGCGGACTCACTGGGTTATGACAACACTGATGAGAGCGAGACGTCCGACTACGAGGAGCAAAATCTAGGTTTCTACCCAGAGGGAAACGAAAACGATACTCTGGAGTATCAGAATGATACTCCAGATTTGGCCAAGCTTTTCGTAGCCAATACCAATGTCTCCGTTGAGAACGCATCGCAGACCAATCTGACTGCCTATCAGCAACTAGCGCACACTCATCGTCAGGAGTAAGTTGACATATAAGAGACTAATTTTTCCATAGTATGGGGAAAGGTGAAAATGGCTTAACATCACCATCATTGACGAATATCTCGGTAGAAAAGCAATTCTCATTTTCTTTCATTTCAAGTTACACTTCTTCCCGTGCTGAATCACAATTTTATTAAATATCGTTTATCACGTGCTCCGCTTAGCGACCGCATATCTATTTACAATATGTGCTTCTTGTATCTTTTAGAGAAAACGTAACTTCCAGCTTCGACAGGTAAGCCTCGCTGGAGGCCTTTATTCGGTAAGGCATTCGGTGTGCCGTGCACTTTTCTTTACCATTTTACCTTAAAGTGCGCTTTTAACAGTCGCTTTTAACAGTCGCTTAGCTCGCGCATTATTTCTATCCTCTCTGCATGAAACGTGTTGTATTACGAATGCTCTTTTAGCGAGATCGATGTGGAATCGCGTAATTTTCGTCTCTCTCTCTCTCTCTCTCCCCCACGCGAATACATGTTTCGCTAATAATATGATACTAAAATGTATATAATTTTTTCTTTTACATCTATAAGAGTGTTTACTGGGTTTTCCTAAAGTTTGATAAAGCATCAAGCAGACGTTGCGAAAGTTTTGTTATGTGTTATTCGCAGGGTTGCATAACTTGGCAATTAATCTAATTCGTCAGAGCTCTTCGTTACATGTAACGCCACGCACACAAATTTTTACGTACAGCTAACATGATTTGACATACGCGATAAAGAAATTTTCCATAAATTGACGTAAACTCGTTGCGAGATGCCGACTAATCGTTTTCCATACTGCGTAATTCATTTATGCGTGTAGCATGTGCAAGCATCTTGGGAATCAGAGGATTCGACGCGTAACACAAATCCGCCGACGTCGGTCGACGACGGCCGGCATCGGCGTTCTCAGCGAAACGTTGCCCTCGTCACGTAAAAATATCTCGATGAAACCGATAAAAGTATCGCGTCGAGAAGAGCAAAGGAAAGCTCGGCGGAGCAGGGAAACTCTGCGTTTCGTGATCCTCGAGCGACTATTCTTCACGTTGTTATGTAGTCTGTCTTATCGCAGCAGCAGTGCGCAAAATATCTACAGATAAAGCTCTCTTTAAGCTGAATTTTAATCTCCGGGGAGATTTAATAGAAATAACCGCAGGTATGATGGCAGCATCGCGTAAAACCGAATTGACGAATATATATATATATGCGCCGATGATTAACGCGTCAATCAAATATAATATATTACGGTTTTCGGTATAGGTAAGATAAAATTGTTTCTCACAAAGAGATGGGTTTGAAGGCGCAATAAAGTTTGCGCGAGGGACAGGTTTAGGATAGTGTTCTCAGCCAGGAAGGATACGCAGTGGAAATTCCGCTGCGGTCTCTAGCTGTGTTTTTAAATCGCCCTCTCCCGTTTCCCCACGACTGCTCGCAGCCCCACTCGTGCGGGTGTGCGCGGGCGTTTCTTTTATTTTATTAAGTCTAGACGCGTAAATGCATTCGTGCCGGCACTGGCGTAGCCCGTCTCGAGAGTCCTCCGAGCGCGTGCTGTTGCCGATGCATTTGTGCATCGCTCGCACGGTCGTGCGCGCGGTTGCATCGAGGATCCGCCGCGCCGGCTATTATCCTCCAAGCTTTCACACAGCGTCTTCATTTCCAATTCATCCACTTCATTTCAATTTATCCTGCGACTTCTCCCCCGAGGCAGCGTGGATCAATCTACGAAATTTCAATGGAAACGTTAAAGTCTATCCTCGATTCATTCTCAATCCATCTCTTTTCTTCTTTAGACAGCGGTCCTCTCGGTTTTAATTATATTTCGCGATCATCGCGAGTTTTCTTTTTTTTTTAATTCAGCGCGAATTAAAACGTCGAGTGCTCGGTCGAAACGGATGGAGGGATACAGGGAGAAGGATGTGACGTCTGGACAGAACTGTTTCGCGGCGGGACACAATAGGAGCGAGAGGCGCGTGACGAGTGTCACGCTCGCACAATTCGAGCCCGAGACATCGAGACATCGAGACATCGAGTTGAGCACCCCCGTAATCGCCGGGTGTCTAGTCGGGCTGCAGTTAGAACTCTCTTACGAGGTTACGTAACACATTTCAATTTAATGCGTTGACCTTGTCTATGCGTCTCTCTTCCTATGTCGACGGGGACGGAGCGACGGAGAGAGAGGAGGAAGTTTTCGCCGGTGATCCCCTCGGTCCTCCATTCTCTCCTCTCTACCTCTTATCCTGCATTCCGCCGCCGCCGTCGCACCGCCAGACGGTGCAATGTGCATTTTTACGGACGGCCCAATCAGGCCGCCGCGCCGGTTACGCATCGTCGGCCTATCGCGTCGCGGGGAACCGTTCTTTCCTATTCTTCCTCGCCGTTTTTCCCTTTTTCCCCTCCTCTCTCTAATCGCTTTTTTCCCTCTTTCTTTCGAGCTAATGTAACTAATGTCCCGGGCCAAGGCATTAAAATTTTCACCAACGCGACAGTTCTCTCTCTCTCTTTCTCTTTCTTCCCGTTTTTCCTATCTAATCTCCAACGCTAATGGCCGACACGGCGATTCCCGGCTGTGCTCCAGTGAATTTCATTATCGCGACACCCGGCCCACGAGGCGAGCGAGGAGGATCCACCGATCCACCGCGCACCGCCGCGCCGGTTCTCATGATGCAACGGCCTCCAGACTCTCCAGGTCCTTCCCTTTCCCAGACGGCGGACAGACGTGGCACGTACGTAACGAGTCGGCGCGAAACGCGTGACTTGGCCGCAGCTAGATTAACGAGCATGCCTAGAATCGAACGCGAGGGCTCGGCCGCAGCCGCAGCCGCAGCCGAGATTTCGGAGAAGAGCGCCGTAATTCTCCGCTGTCTCGCAAGAAAACAGGATCTATTTTCTAGATAACTCCATAAGACTAACAATAAAACACGGATTTCGCCTCTTGCTTGTTATTTTTTTGGGGCTCTTCAAAGATGCGGCATTCGAATCTTCGTGACAGCTCATTTATCTTTTCCTTTTAGAGGCGGGAACAAGTAGAGGCGGATCTACAAAGGTGAAAAATTATCAAGAAAAATTTTGCATCGGTTCTGTCCTGCTGTCTCACTCACTTTTTTTCACTTTTTGTCGGTCTTTTCTGTTCTCTCCCACTACTTTGTCTCTCTTTCTTCGCTTTCCCGCCGTTCGGGAAAATACATTTTTCGAGTATTCATAAATAAGCGATGAGGTCGTTGACGTGGAAGCTGCACTGAAACCTCCCGAGTGGACGTCTCGGACACCTTGTCGATGACGTGGAGAAATGACGCTCATCTTTCTTCTCCCTGCGCCCCCTCGCCATTCTCGTTTTCTATTCCGTCAGTCGTTGCTTAATGAGTCAAAAATTTATTATGCAATTCTGCGTCGTCTCGGTCGATCGTCCGACGTCATCTTTCGAAACCCGACAGCCGTCTCTGCTCGTGATGAAAGTCTCGGAGGCCGTGGGGTCCTGGCGCGCAAATAAACAAGTTCTTGTCCCGGCATCGACGAAAATCATGAGACCACAATTTTATTGTTGTAAACACGAAATCTAAAAACTGTATGGAGTAGATGCGATGGGTCACATCGTGTTACGTCGCGTCAGGGAAAAGAATGAAATTCGAGTCACGCGAACGCGAACAACCGATGTCCAGTCGCGAAGAAAAAGTCTCTGTAGGCCGAGGCAGGGCGATGCAAATGAGCCTGGTCGAGACGTCTTGGGAATGAACTTAAGATTCGAGACGCGGCCTTAAGAAATTAAAGTTCCGCCGAGACCAGACGGAAAGTCGAGGTGATTGGGGTGCCGGTGTATCCGCCGACTGTCTAGCCGCTGTCTGCAACGTGTAATAAATGCCTTCGAGCCATACCGTGCCTCTGTAGGTCACTGACCATCGTCCATTGGCCCGTGTCGGCACCCGGAAGAGTCCGCCGGGAACCTGGAGGTGAAAATTCTCGACCCGACACACACACAACGCGTCACCACTAGGTTCCAAGTAAAATAGTCTTTTCTAGATTGCCAAATCTAGATCTAAAATTCTACAAACTCAGAATTCTTGGGAAACTCCAGAGAAATGTGCCCAGAAACATTTCGACAGTGTTTAAAATGTTTAGGGCGTTTAATTCAATATTTCTGCAATGTTATTTAAATATTTTTAGGGCCTTTTGAGTTTTTTTCCTTCAGGTTGAGAAAATTATTTCATCTCTCTCGAAAGCTAGCTTGACGCTTTACGGAGGAAAAGATTTCTCTGAAACTCCTTTTTTATCTTGCGCAAGACTAACGCGATTCTACATACTAACGCGCTGAAGCTTGGAAATTGTGCTTTCATATTATTGTTCATTAAAAGCTTGGTATGATACGTCACCATTTCATTTAGGAATTCTGTGTAGCCTAATAAACTTTGATCCGTGTGTGCAGTCAGGGCCAAAAGGCGATCGAAGATATAAAGACGAGGATTCTCACGTTAACTGGGAGATTCAATCTTAGCACCAACACCAATCAGGTCCATCACGAGAAACTTACTATGTTTTCGCCTATTTGTAAGTAGTTTAATAATTCGTTTATTTCTCTCATGTTATTAAAAGGAAGAAAATGTAGCGATAGTTTTCAGGGATATTGCTCATTAGACAGAATATGCGATTTGTTATATAGGTCAGATACCTCGAAACACGGATTCTGAGGCATGGATGGATCCATTTTCGATGAACATGCACTTTCAATTAAATCTTACTTCTGATGACTACATTGTCGCTGCGAGATTACGACTTTATAAGTTACCACAAGAGAATGTCACGACTTCCGACCTCCGACTTTCGCACCCTTTCGACGAGGGTGAAGATGATGAGAAGAAGATCAGGATATCCGTTTACTACTACACCAAATCGCTGAAAAAGCATCGATGTGCGTATTTACTCGTTTAGCAGGTTACTGAATTTACGCGTGAATATTCCAACAATTTAGAGAATTGCGAATTTCTGTAGCAAAGAAACGGCTGATGGATTCCATCGTGACGCCTCTGACGGCAAAAGGCAGTCATCTGGCGCTGGATGTTAGGCAAGGCTTGAGATTCTGGCGACCGACTCCGCGAAATCCACATGGCAACGGTAACAATCACGGTTTGGTGATTCAGATAGAGGACCAGGAGAATCGGCCGCTAAAACCGGCTCTGTACATCCAACAAACGTCCTGTGGGGACCACGATTCGGATGAGAAGGCATGTGAGTGTGTGGTCTAACAATACTAACTCCTGTTTGAGTTTTTCATTGAGTCTTGGCACATTTTTGCGTGCGACTAAACTATGCGTGTAGTAACGCTTGACGTAAAATTGTGTTAATGATATAATGTGTTTTGCACAAAAATTCTAAGTATTTATATACAGCTTCAATTATTGATATCGTTTTAAATTGGCAAATGGAGATTTGTAAAATTATTTTTCTGCTCAAAATACATTTAATTTTCATTGTTTATGACTTAATTAATAATTAGCGTCCTAGTAATTTTCCAAGAAAAATGAAAAAGAAGCTCTTGAGGCGCAAAAATTTATATTTTTTAATAAATTGTGGTTATGTGCGTGTTTCTCAATTAATTCATTTTTAAATTTCGATAAATTCGGACCTATGCCTTAAAATTTGCTTTTCTTTTTTTACAGTGCAACGCACACCTGCACTTTTCGTCCGAGCCTGTCCTCGTTATGTTCGCATCGTAAATGACGAAAAAATCACATACATAAATTGTAGGCATTGACGACAAAATGCACTTGACCACGAGACAAAAGAATTTATTTCAAAATAAGAAAAGTCGACTTAAAATATTGTTATTATTATTACCTAGAAATACTTGCCATTAAACACGTAAAGAAACGTGCACTTTTATTGTATAAACTCAGAGTCGTATAAAGAAGTATTTATCCAGAAGTATCACATAAGAATGAATCCTAAGTACTAAATTTTAAACTTTAGAATTTAAGAAATTCTATATCAAATATGAGAAAATCGATTGAACAATAGATTAGTAAGCATATAGATACAGAGACAGAATTACCAAATAAAATGTCCGTTTTAAACATATTATGAAAAATGCACTCTTTCACTAATTACTTATCTTTTCTCACTATTCGAAATTTATCTGAAAAAATGCAGGTTTCACATTAAATAAATAATAATAGTTTAAATTGTAAAAAATTGACATGGTTTGTAAGAATTCTTTATATAGACTGTTTACTATTAACTTAAAGAATTATTTAAATATAGTAAGAAATATATATATATATATATATAAAAGAGCTAATAATAATTCTTGTATCTTGAAGTATCTCCTTTAAGCATGGTATTATAATGTACATATAAGTAAATGTAAAATAGCGTATCGATGACTTATGCAATCGCCAACGTGTCAACATGCTCATGACTGATATAGCCAAATGTAAAAGTTTAGGTTCATATATCTATTTATATTAAATATAGTTAGATTGATTAAGGAATCTTTTCTCCGAGTCTTTAGTTAGATGAATCCGCGAAGAGTTTCTCTGCGAAAACGTTGCAGATGTCTAGGAAAGCCTTTCTTGTCTTCGAAACTGCAACGACTTCTATGATACTTATGTATGTGACAAAAGAAGCGTAATGTTTAATGCCTTCTGCGGTGTATATAATGTATATTTCTATATCATGTTGCAGAGAAATAAATTCATTTGTAGTAAGATATATATAACATATTTACTTTACCCAAATATAATCTCTTTCCTCTTTTTATAATTTGTATGGAATTTATGACTCTGGAATTATTAAAAAAGTATTATAACATGTATTATACAATATAAAACATATTTTATTAAAAGGTGTTTTATAGGAAAATTCAACATTCACAAATCGATTTACATCGAATCGATTGCGGTTATCATTGATAAAAAGCAAGAATATATGGTTATTTTGCATTTTAACCATACGAACTTATAGAATACTAGAAAATAGAAATATCTGTACAAGTAATGTGATATCGATAAAGTACAAAAACTTCTTACGTATTTGATTAAATTGATGGGTCATTTAACAGACCAAAACGCAGTTATCAATAAATATGTATATGCGCGCATTCGGATTATTAATAGTATGTCATTTCTTCATGACAAGAATTAACCGAATTCAATAATATTTCGCATAACATATTCTCTGCGAAGACAAATGCATTTTATTATTAGGAATTCCAATTTTTTTACACAATCGTGATAGAATCATTTTTGTAATCTAAATTATGTAATATCCATCTTTTCAACTCTAGACTTAATACATAAATACTTTTTAGAAGACGACGTAAAACGCAACTTTACTGACATCCAATCAGTTTTTTTTACCGGTTTTCTCTATTGTACTTAACAAATTTTCGTTAGAAAAGTTTTCATCAATAAAGGCGAGATTATTTAGAAATGTCGAGTAATCGATTTGAATTACTCAATTTCTCAGCCGAGTTATATTTGGCCATATTGTCGATTATATTATACAGTCTATATATGAGTATCCTCCTTGACCTAACTATCTCGATCGTAGGAGTCCAAAGTATCGTTGCTGGATGAATGTGCGAGGTCACTTAACTCATCCAAATGCTTCTGCCGTTTTCTGACGTTCCAGTGAAGGCATTCGGCTAGGGAATCGAACCAGTCGGTCATTTGATCGGCTGCGCAAATGCTAGGCAACGGGTATACGGAAGTGGTTACCTTCAAACTGAAAGAAACATTTTCTTTTTAACAATTATCCAATCTGATGAAATTAAACGTATCTAAGCGAAGGCTAATATGGTATGTTGAAAATTTACTTTGCGACAACATAAACTGGTACAAGCAAAATTTAAGTTACTTCTTAATTAATTATTTGCAGAAAAATTGTATTTATAAGGAAAACGTTCATATATTTAACAAAAATAGCATTATTCTTGTATGTTTGTAAAAGTTTACTCGCCGCGACGTCGTTACAAAAAGCAAAAGCCTTTAGTTTAACGTTTAACGTTTATCGCAAGAGTATGAATAATAAAATATATCGTAACCCTGTAGTACAGCCAACGTCTCCACAAAGATATTCTAACGTAAAGTCCGGGCAGCAAAAAGAGTATTAAAAGTAGGCAAAGAATAAAGAGCATATAGTAGGTAATTAAAAAATATGATTTACAAAAGACAAATAATAAACAAATTGTATCGTGTATGAATGTAAGGTAGAAAATAAGAGAAAAATAATGTAGCGACTGAAATGATCTATTGGAAAGAGATACCTTATGCGCAGTGGTTATTTATAAAAACTTTATATTATAAATATGATTTTGAGGAAACAATAAATTACAAAAACATATCGTTTAATGCAACGAGGCATAGAGAGAAAAAGCGATACGGCGCCTTTTGAGAAAGCAGGACAAACCTGTCACCGACATGCAGCTCTTGCTGATTGCGACCATCGAAAGAGACGTAAGCTGTACTGCGGGTATTGCTGTTCGCCTTTATCTGAAATAATTGTAAAAAAGGCAAACGATTAAACAGAGCTGTCCAGTGTTTTCATTTACCTGTCACCGTGGAAGAGCTCTTGCCTATTTCTACCGTCAAAGGATACCCATGACGTGTTTCTGCTGTCAGGTGAAACTGAGATCTGCGGTGGCAAGCAAGATCATATTAATTGCTATCACTTATAGAAATATCACTACGGTTTTTTTACTCGAAATAACGCATTAATGTCTTGAATTCAAAATCTATTCAAAATCTATTGCTTAATGAGTTGTCTAAATCAAAATAAATTCATGCATTTAAAATAATTTTGAAATTTACGAAAAATCAACTACGAGAGAGCTTTACTTTACTATCGAAATAATTGTTCTTTAATCATAACAAGCTGTTTTATGGGAAAACAAATTATCTTCAAAAGTTCAGACATTTTCAAGTTTTGAGGGAAACTTTTGAATAGCGCATTGTCTGGAGATATTGGGATATAAAAGAGTGACATTTGTCAGAAACACATTTCCTTCTATTAAATACGGGTTATAAATTTCTCTACGAAAAAATACATTTTGACCAACAAAGTAATAACACGTAATACAGTGTACAATAAAACATTCTATTAGTTAGCGTTTCTTTCTCAAAAGATTCAAGACTTGCCTTGAGTTCGACTCCTGCAGGTACAACAATCGGCCTAAAGGACAAAGAATGAGGGCAGATCGGTGTTATCATAATGGCAGGAACTGAAGGATGAATCATGCTAGCTCCAGCAGCAACTGCATAGGCAGTCGACCCGGTTGGTGTGCTCACGATCAAGCCATCGCCTTGGACGCTTGTTACATGCTTGCCATCAATAAATAAGTCGATATTTGAAAGGTAAGACGAGGCCCCTCGATCCACTACGACTTCATTCAAGACCAAGAGATTCGTCGGCGGTTCAGTCGGTTGACTGTCTTCATTCTTGCGTATAATGATGCATCTCAGACGACTCCTTAAAGTTAAAGCTGCATTACCTAGAGTCGGAAACAATATAATATAAATTTGACCATTAAGAAAAAACACAAAAATTAATTTACAATAAATAACCTTCGAGAACATTGGTCACTTGTTCTTGAAAATTATCAAATTCGAAGGGTGTGAGAAATCCTAAGGAACCAAGATGAAATGCCATTACAGGCGGCACTGACTGTTGGAACAATAGACTGGCATAAAGAAGAGTACCGTCGCCTCCCAAGCAGACAATAAAATCAATTTTATCCTGCAAAAGAATAGAGAACAATAAATACCATTTAAAGCAAAGAAAAAAGTGATAAGATAGACATTGAAAATTAATACAAATTTTACTGTTTATTAATCTTTTTTTATTACATAGGGATAATATATAATTATATTGTTCGGTCATCCGATAAATTGACTAATAACTACAATAAATTGATTCAAATGCAAATGTGCATATAAATAAACTTTTAATTCTATGAAAAACAACATACAAAATTGTAATAAACATGTAACTTGTAACTTTTGTAAAATCAGTGAACGTTATTACCTGCAAGTCATCTGTGCCGTCTCTAAAGGTTTGTAATCTATCTCGTACACTTTGAAACCTAGGATCTCTGGTTAAAGCTGGATCCTCTAGAACAGAAGCTTCCACAAAGACAACCATCCGTTTTTCCTGTATCATAGAAAAATAAAATCGTAAAATTCTATTCGAAACATTATGATCACATTTACAAATTACATACGTTGCATGAATCACAGATGCGATTTCGACATTATGATCGGTTTTCATAGTCAAATTTTATATTCAAGACTGTCTTAAGATCATCTTTAGATACTCCGTAGCCAATGAAATGTTCCACAGCATCTTTAGATAAATTCAAGATGGTCTTGAATATAAGATCTGACTATTGAATACCGGCCTATATTTTTAATATCTAACAGAAAATATAGATATTATTGTTGCTAGATTAAGAATGACTCCTTTTATATTTACACATATGTTTGGCATTTTGATAATGCATTCACAGCAGAATAAGATAATAAAGAAAGAATATGTATAATATAAAAATAGTAATGATACTTATGTATGTGATTTCTTTTACATATAAATAAAAAAGATTGAATAAAATAAGAAGAAACTATAAAAGAAATCAATTTGTATAACGCGATAATATACCAATTTATATGATAATACATATCCAAATCAATTTTTAATAATTTTTTTGCATTATATAAATAGTTATAATACATTGTCATATAAAGATCTTTGATATTTCCCCAACATATGCACTAAATACAAGATTCAGATACAACTACACTAATATGAAATTAATATTCATGTTAAGAACACGCGAAAAAAAATGAATTGGAAATTAGGATAGCTTTTTCATGCAAATAAAATGAATTGTTGTTTTACAACATTTTATTACGCAATGAGCTGATATCAGTTTGTGGATCCACTAATCAAACTTTCGGGACAGGCGTATCTCAATCTTTTAATATTTTAAATAATTTTATTAACATTTACCTCTATCAACCATGTAACCAATTGAACAAACGGTCGTAGGACTGAAGAGTCACGGACCTTTTTAATGACCAGAACAGAGAGTGGTGGCTTGTGCCACGTCAACCTCTGAGAGGCCGGGTCCTGAATGGTCCTGAAATAAGCAAGGAAAACTGTTGTGATCATTACAGTTTCTCTTCTAATTTACAATTGTTAGCTGAATTGAATTACTGTTTGGTGCGTTCGTTTGCATAAAAGTTATGTTTCACAGAGTATTGTATAAAAACAAACTTATTACAGGCTAGATTCGTGGGTTAAAATAAGATCGTCAAGTATACTTTATAGTAGGGGTAGTTGGAAAAATGTTGCGTACGCGCTCTCGGTGATCTATCACGCGTTTATATATCTATCGAATCTATAATTTTCGTCTATTTATCATTCGTGAGGCACCGTTATATCCTATGTAAATGAAGCAATAGTCGAAGCAAACCGGCAAAGGTGACGGTCAATGAAATGTAAAAAAGCCCTGATTCCGATGACTAGTTTTTTACTGTCAACTTCTTGTGAGTACATATAGTGTTTCTTTTTAAATTTATGATAGGTACTATGGATTAGCATGTGATGTAGTGTATTGATTTTTTTTATTGAATACTGAATACTGACATGGAACACTGATATGGATTATAAATTGGCACGAGAAAAGCATTTTCACTTGAGTCGGTGAAAATTCTTTTGAAAAAGTGAACTTACTGTCAACCTAATTGGCAAAGCTGATTAAATTCGGTACAATTCTTCTCTCGTGACGGTCCTTCCTGTTTTCTAATATTTTCCCGACAATGCTATTTCAAAGTTTTCACCCAAAAGTTTTCAAAGAATCCGAAAGTGTCTTTTAAAAATAATTTATGTCTTTTCGTGATACATCTTGTTAAAGAACAATTTATGGGAACAATGGTTTCCGTAGTGCACGAATGTCCTACAGGGAGAAAATTTTCTCTTAAAACTTAATCAAGAAACCATGTAAACGTAGGGCAACATGGCATTTTGAAGACCTTTATCAGAGTTTTTTTAATAATTTTACCATACATTCTACTACTAAAATCGCGCAAATACTAATTGCATTATATAACAATTAATTAATAATTACTTCCGCGCAGCGTAAAATATCGTTGCGAACAATAAATTCGAAGCGAGTGTGCAAACTAATTTGTTTCGGCTTTGCACACTTTGTTTCAATCGGATCGATAATTAAATATCGTTACATATTTCCTAACGCAGTAATTTAGCGATATTCTCGCGAGCACTACTGTGATAAAATTATAATATATAATTACTGATTTTCAGGATAAATTTTAAGACAAAATTTCCTCCGTGCAGTACAGTAAACCTTTATAAATTAACTTTTCGTAAATTTCGAAATTGTTTTAAATGTATTAATTTTTTCCAATAAAAAATTTCAAGTAAAAAATATGCTTTCTTATTTTAAAATGATAATGACGGAATTCGTAAAAAAGACTTGTTAAACAATAGATTTTGAAAGAAGGTGATCATTATATTTTACTGAAATTTTGCGCAGACTGCAAATTTAGTTGCACAATTTTTGCATTCGAAAAAAGTAACCGAATAAAATTAAAATTTATAAGACTTATAGTAAGCAATGATTGATTGAGGTTGGTTAGAAGAGAAAAATGGTGAAACAAAAAAATTGCACAACTAATGTTTTTTCCCTAAATATCCTAAATATCTATCCGCGAAGGTCAGCCGGACACAAGTGGAAATTTCAAGTGACATTTAAAATATATTCGAAATTGTAAAAATATTGATAACCACGGCTAAATTTTTATATGACAACCGGTTAAATATCACCTGTCAATAAAACCTCAACAAATCTGCAGCAATCTGCTTGATGATAAAATATAATGCGATGATAACTTTAGCGAGTGTTATGTATTGACTAAGTGTTAATAATTTATATTCATTTTTTTACTAATTAAACTAATACGTACACGGTTCTTTTCGTGCATCGATTCGAGTCAAACTATCATTTTTTTAATGAATATTATACGCATTCGGTTAGTAGAATTACAATTACAAGCAATCTATGTAAGTATGTCGCTGCACATTCATCAGACAATCTTGGAATATTTAGGCATCGGAATGAAATTAAAATTTGATAACTTTGCCGACTGTAAAAGTCCACGAGTTTAATTGAAATAAAGCGGGCTTGGTGATCTCGTTAGTGTTTCGGGTAATTTAAAAAATCTTGTAGGAGAAAAAAACAAGTTATTAATTGAAAAACTTAATGCTTAAAACTTACGTTGAGTTCACTAAATCAAGGAAAAGTTTAGAATAATTCATATTAGAAACACTTAACACCAGCAATAAAACTTTCTCTTTTATAAAAACTTGAGTTTGCGTTCACCAGACACTTTATCACCGAAATAATGAAAAGTATCATAATCCTTTGCAATTGTCTACCAATCCTGAAGGAAGTACAATCTTGTGTGTCTCACGCAGTAACACAGTAAACTATCTGAAGACGTGAAAAGTGTTGCACGTATTAACAACCTACCTCGCTGTTCCTACCATGATGCGATACTGAGGAAGACGCGCTTACTGACCACTCAAACTAAAAGCTAAACATTCAAACCGAAACGTCGCGCATGCGCGTGCGCATCGCATGCACGCGCGGGAAATCACGTTGTCGGAGTTTGATTTATTGTATATACAACCATGTTTTTCGGAGCTAAAAGAAAATTACATATTCATGATGAAGTGTTTACTATTAATGCTTTTCAGAAATTTTTTAGTGCATAATATTCATTACATGAAATAAATCAGTTATAAAGATATAAAAATGTTTAATTTTCTCCATCCATGTATTGACTGTCTTTCAAAATAATTTTATGCGCGTCTACTAAGCTGAATTTTATAGGTTATTGTTAAAAAATAGGAATTAAAAATGAAAACGGAAAACTTGTAGTCGACCCAACTGGCATATTCCTTAATTTATTTAATGCAACGTTTTGACCCTATTTTTCCTTATTAATTAATGCTAACAATAAGTGAGTCATCATCGTCATATAGAACAGAATCGAATTGTAAAAATACATGTACATATGCGCACTGTGGCTGCTGGGCTCGAACAATAGGAATTAACTTAAGCCAGTGTTGTAGCATAAAATAATATAAAAATAAAATATATTGTAACATAACTTAATTAGTGGATAAAAACCACTATAAAAGTGGATATTTTATATAGAGAACGAGAAAGAAAGACTGCAAACATAATTTCACTATGTATACTACATTTAAAATGCTCTCTTGGTATATAGTGTTATGCTTAGTCATCATTCCTTGCAAAACGAAAGGCAAATGAGTTTCATCGATCGCTTCTAGTGTATGCGACATATTTATTACATGAACGTCGCAATTACCATCGCGATATTATTGTTTGCTAATGAAGATGATATTAAACTTTTCCTACCAACGAAAGCGGAAAGAACCCAACGGGTAAAACGCTACACGCGTAGAATTCTTTTTCTACACGTTCGCCTTTTTAAAAATTAATAATTATTTTTAATCAGTAATAAACTGTGATAATATTGATATATAAATAATGCAAATCATAAAGTGTTTTTCTGTAAACTAATTGGTAACTATTGTTGTGCTCTTTAGTTTAATATCAATGACGTAATATTATTGTTGAATTCCTTGAGAAGGAATTCAACACACACGTATGATCGAAACGTCGGATTTAAATAAAGAAACCATCTGCCAGCCTAAAGCCGTCTAACAATTCTTTTCATCGCTAATTGACTATGTTAATATAAAATGGGGGGGGGGGGGTAATTGAGGACGATTCTTAACGTATTAAGCTGTGTGTGTCGATGTGAATAAAAGTAAAATATTGAGTCGAAAAATAATAGAAATATTTTGTGTAATAATTAATTGTGTCGTTCGATATCGTTAACAAAATATCATATAAGTTACAATACTTACATAACCATCGCAGGATTTTTCATGATACGACCACATCGCCCGAATTGTTGAACGGGACTGGGTGCGTTCAGACTCCGCGTTCTTCTGTAAAATAAAAAGAAAGCAAATGTTAAGTATGAAAAATCGTCAGATATGATGAGCAATTTCGCCAGCTTCGTCGAATAGAGATATTACGAAAAAACACGAGTATATTCAACTCAAGACCCTGACATTCGACGTGATACCTTCTCCACTCCTCGCATTAGTCATTCTCTACGCAAAAATAAAGCGAAAGGATCGGTTTACCTTGCCTCCTCGTGTCACAGAATAACTTTTCTTATTGATATATTTATTTCAAAAAATATAAAGTAAGTATTATTTTTTAAATACGAATAAATTAATACGAAATGTATGATTAAAAACATGCTTTTATTATAACGTGTCGCTTTGCATTTGAAAACAATTGCTTTATTTTTGAATAAGTAATGAACATGGAAACAAATTTGAAATGAGACCAGCTGCATACATTACACGCATTAGTTGAGATTGTGCTGAGTCAAGACAAGTCCATTATGATTGCTAGTCTATTGTGATTACCTATCGATATGTCCACAGGTTGTAATTATATTGCATTAGTACATTAGTTTTTAACACTAGTACAATTTTTCTATCTTATTCTGCAGCGCAACTTACGTCATATTTGTTTTACGAGTCTGTTATTCAGCAATGGCAGACACACCTGTTATGTAGGAAAACACAAAACACTTTAACTCACTACCTTGTCATTTCGTACTATGTTTTTTCACGATGTAATTAAGTACGAAATAGCGGCGCCGAAGTTATAACAATCACATGTAGACGCATGTACACAATATTAATTTCTTGTTAGATATTTTCGACAAACAACCAGCTTAATTCCCAACATTTACTATTACGGATTTTATAAATTACAAATTATATAACATTTAGAATTATATACTTTTTCATGACAAAAAATAATTATCGAGGAAAGTCTACCTGAGAACGCGATTTTGTAGATTACTGTCCGTCGTCGAGTCACTCGATCCATCGTCCTGCGGCTCAATGATGTCAAAAACGAAATCATGTTGTGCACTGATTTCATTATCACATAAACGTGACATTTGATCGGTCATATCTTGCGTCAGATGATAAGAAAATTCGTACAAATAAAAAGTCTCTTTGCGACACTACACGCACAGGGGACTATGAAATATTTATGATGAAAGTATAAATAAATTAATATTGATTTGACAAAGAGTTATCACGAGAGGTACGTATAAAATAAATGGACATATAATGGAATAAGGTAAAACGATAAAACATATTCGAGCCACGGATTATCATGACTGAGTGAATTATGATACTCGTGAACATTCTTTTAATGAGGCATAGCGGGCGTCACATGTACGTATCGTGATACACGTGAAATAGTAGTATCTCGTGCCAAAGTAACTTTATTTTTAGATTCGCGATAACAGGAAGAAAACACGGTTGCTAAAATTAACATCATCTAATTCCACGCGTTTGAAATCGGGACTGCAATTGCTCTACCGCTAATTAAAATCTGTCTTGTATGTTTATAAAAATGGTATGTTTAGAAATGAAAATAAAGCTGAACAGGCAAAGATCAATTGTTGTATTTCTGAAACAGTTTGTTTCATTATCTTAAGATATTCATTTAATTTCTGTTTCTCATTCCATTTGAAACTTTCTTTTATTCAGCCTGTTGAGTTTTCTTAGAACATTCTGTAATTTCACGATTATCAAGTACGCGACTTTCACAAGCGCGATCGTACGATTAGATTTATAAACTCTTTCGATTGAATCAACATTTTATTCGCATTTTATCGAACATTAAAATCCTAAGAATCGGTCTCGTTTCGAGAGGTGACGGCGTCCTTCGCTCGTCGAGAGGTCTTCGAAATTATTCTCAAGGACAAGCTTTCTTTTTCTCGAAGATATCAATCGAGATGAGATTTCAACGAGGAGCTGCAGTTTTCGTTGCTGCTCTATCGTTATCGCCTGTTGAACAAAATTTCGCGCGACTTGTGCTTTAACGAAACAAGTATATAGTATGTAGCGTAAAAGATACGGTAAAACGGCAGAGATTTTTTTTGAATCAACGGGTTCAGCTCACTTTGAATAGAACACATTTACAACATAAAAAGTCCTTCCCGAATAAATCACGCGGTATTCACAAACGACGTATCGCGGACCTTGAACTTCGTTCGAAACTTTGCTTCAAAACTGCTACGACTTATGCTGAACTGCGATCTTTTTCTTTGATTTAATCTCCCGATATAGACATCGCGATTGCGCATAAATTAAATTGCCTTCACTTGCACTTAATTATTTTAACATTCCAAATCACTGCACCATTAAAACTGATAAAGGCGTTTATACGCAGTTCTTGCGTACCGATCGAAATGTTACAAAATTACAGAAAGTTCAACGTTTATCTCTACGCGTGGTTTTCATAACCACTTTAATCTCGATAACTCAGACACCTAAGAGCAACTGATTATGAGTAGTGAGATGGCCGCGCGTGGAATGACGCATCTGGGCTGAAAGTGGCTCGCGATTACGAGAGATTCTCTATCGCTAGCGGTCGGTAATGACTCGTTCCACAATTTGCGTCGATGCTGCAGGTAGTAGCCTTCCAACGCGTGTTGCAAATGATGCCGAGATAATTCTGGCACTGAATCCACGAGATGAAACACATTGCGTCAACGTCTGTACAATCGAGGATATTTTTGTCGCTCGCTGGTCGCTGTACCTCCTGGATCGTACCTGTCTCTTTTTTTTTATTCAAGACACGCGCGGGTGATGTAACAATACTCTCTTCAAGATTTTGCACACACGCGACAGCGATTGCTATTTTTATTTACACTATTTTTGTCTAAAATAACTGCATTAAGTTTTGAGAGGTGCTACGATAAGTCTGGTTGTTCAAGGACATGTTAGTTTTCCTCTTCAATTTTACCTGATAAATCAAAAGGGAAGAAACTTTTCATTGAGAAAAATTTGCACGCGCTCTTTTTCTAAACTAAAATAAGTTTTCTCGGATAAAAACTGGTTATGTTACGATAAACTCATCGACCTGTCAAATATCACGTTTATTAAATTGAAATAATGTTGTTGCAACAATTGTGTCGATCGCAACGATAGTGTTGTTAACGCAACGTAACGATGAGGTCCACCAGCGAATAACACGCATCTTTATAAGAAGTGATCCGTTAAGATGACACGTGGGCCGTTCGGGCCCAATCAGCGAGGAGAAAACGGAGAGAACGATTCTGTAATCGATTGCATCGAACGTGGATTCCTGAAATTCCGATTGACCGCGCAACGGAGGCGCCATGGGTGCGAGCCATACGGGAGCCCATCGAGCAAAAGCCGGATCGAATGGAATGTGCGGCGAAAGGTGAACGCGTTCTCGCTCTCGAAGAAAGGAGCAACAAGAAATGCTCCCGCAGCATTCGTGATTCAAGCGGACGCTGATGCTAATATACACGCGCACAATTAGCAACGCGGAGATCTCTCTAAAGTCTACGGAAATCGTCCCCGTTTGCCACAACCCTTTCGCCGCGTCGCGACATACCGTCCAAGAAATAATCGCACTTCACATTCGTAGCGGATGATAGCAGGTCGCACGCCCTCAATAAAATATGAGTTATGGTAACGAAGGGGATCGTTATTTCCTATATCTCGCAATACCTCAACTCAGCTTCATCCATGTGCGCTGATCTCGTAACCGGCACACGTTAAATCCCTTCAAGAACAGGAGAAACGACGTTCGTGATAATTAGAGCAACGCGGATCAGCAGCGATTAAGGCACACTTCGGCATTGACACGCCACGAGGAATGAGTTAGGTATTGGCAATCCTCGTAGGTCGGGTGAACACGCCGACGTCGTGACGCCTAACCCGTCGTACGCAAGCGCAACCAGAAGACGCCAATCAATTCCAAACACGCAGCCCATTTGTTTGTTTCGAGTTCTAATCTCAGTTGTACATTTTTTTTTTATTGCTTGGCAAATTCGATCGAGAATTCCAGCCAGATTAATTTTATTTGTGGAAATTGTCAAAGAATTTTAAAATATATCTTGGATATTTCAAAATTATTATTAGCTGTGTTCTCTTTACCTACTTATCTAATAGTATTGTATTTATTACTGCACTGAAAAAAATTTCTGGTTGAATATGGACGAATCAGATAATTCCTTTAGGATTTACCAGAATTCCTTTAGGATTTACCAGATTTCCTGTTATATATTTCTTCCTGTATGATAATTCCTGTAATCCTACAGAAATTCTGGTAAATCCTAAAGGAATTATCTGATTCGTCCATATTCAACCAGAAATTTTTTTCAGTGTGGGAACGGTTTCGAGTTCTAATCTCAGTTGTATATATTTTTTTTATTTTTACGAAACTCTATCAGGTTTCCTCGGTCGATCGAGCTTGGCAAATTCGATCGAGAATTCCAGCCAGATGAATTTTATTTGTGGAAATTGTTAAAGAATTTTAAAATATATCTTGGATATTTCAAAATTATTATTAGCTGTGTTCTCTCTACCTGCTTATCTGATAATATTGTATTTATTACTGGGAACGGTTTGATGTTTCGAAAATTGGCTAAAATTTGCGACGATTAAATCGAGTTAAATAATAATTAATTAAGTTCAACATTCTAATGTCTGAGGACGTTCTTCTTCAACGAGAACGTCACAGAGTAGCAAAAGCGTTGAGCAAGCTGTCGTATATTGAGCCTCGTGTTACATGCGAGATAGACTCAAATTACGTGGTTTCATGTTAATTATGAAATAAAATAATCTGGTTTTTTTTTCGTGGTAGCAAAATTACTAGTTTACACTTGGCGTGACTTTCCAATATGAAATAATATTAGATATTATTAACTAATCAACGATATATTTAGCAGTATATTAATTGCTACATATGACCTGTAATTTCAATCAATCGATTATGCAGCATTGATTAATTATCATACGTTAAATAAAATAGTTATAGTTAATTAGCAATAATTAGCAATAAGAAATTATAATACAGCATTGATTATCATACGTTAAATAAAATAGTTATACTAATTAGCAATAAAAATTATAATTATAATTGACAATAAAAATTTTTCGGTATTACAAATCACGAAGTATATTGAATGAAATGTAGTCGCTAGACTGGAATTGAGGTCACGTGTACGATTCCATTTAATTAGTGAACTTAAAAAAATACTAAAATCTGGATTATAATATTATACAATAATTTAAACAAAAGGACTCTTCGTTACTCATACCTATGTACGAAGAACAGTGAAGTGGTTTCTGTAATTTAAAACGAAAAGTTAGATAACAAAGCCAACCTATTTTGTAACCGCGCTACAAGGTTGTCGACGTGTCAACATCATTCGTTTTGCGGCTAGACGTTTAAATGCAACTCGTTTTCGAAACAAAATGGGAAATAAAAATGTGCTTTCGGATGCTACTCAAGTTGCGATCAATTTACGTTTAAAGCTTCCGCTTCCTGCTGAAAATTACTACGTGGCAAAACTTGCTCGCATCTCTTCGTCGTGGAAGATGCAGATTAACAGATTGCCAGGAAATTAGTAGATCGGATTTAGTAGTTTATTTTCAAAATCTCCTTTCATCATTTCGTCCCGTTATTCCTTTTCTATTGTTTCGCGGAAGATTGGAGTAGCAGTTTTACTCACGGCCAAGTACCGGATCGTCTTCGTCTGCGTGTCTCTGGTTCTCTGTCATAATCCTCCAGCAAGAGTCCTCCTGCGTTATCGTTTTCGTCCCCGGCGAAGGTGCCTTTGCATTCAGCTAGGCATCTCCAATTGAGCAGTTCGCTCACGCTTCGTCTGCGCGGTTTTTCCTTCACCATTTCCATCATCCGAGAAACATCTCCTTTAATTTTGCCACGCGTGTCCTACTTCTTGCGTCGACAATTGAGATCGTCCGATTTTATTTCGACATGATCGTGTGCTCCAAGTGCAGCCAAGTGCGCTTTTGCATTATTGTTTTCGTTTCTTATAAATATCCTTGCGCAAAAGCCAACATTAGTCACTTCTTTCAAACGGTTCGTACGTATGAACGCCGCGATTAGCTTCGAACGTATTGATTTCAAATAACGATCAGTTGCTGCGTTCTCACATTCTTTCGCCGCATCACTTTCGAATGCACGGTAAATTATGCGCTTTCTTTTTTTCGCAATAATAATTGTTCTTGACATTTGAGGACCATCTTTCGCGACGGATCGTACGCACGGCGAGGAGGAAAACGAACCTGAGTAATCAATCGTAACATAATTCTCGACAACATTCGCAGTGATATCGTCTTTACCTCGCTTCTTGTATGAACATGCAAATAATATATTCAAGGTAACTATTTGCAATTCTAGTCGTACTTTATGCACATTGTACGTACACTTTAGTACTGATTACTTTAAGTTGATTATAATTAATAATAATCGCCTTGAACTTTGATCTCATCGAATCTACACATCAAAAACTTTCGAAAGAATGTCTCACGGGCTTCGTTCTTGTTTCATATTAACGTGTGTTTGCGACCTACTTCCTTACACAACCGAGGAATTTCACTTGCCGATGGACGAGGTTGCCGATAATGAGTTCCACTGCTCGCAAATGTCACGTTTAACTTTTTATCTTATCTGGTTAGTATCAGGCGCACTGGTGATGTGAAACTTGCAGTTTGCAAATTTTTTCGCGACTTTTCTGCAAATCTATTAATACAGTCCAATATTTGTGGGTACACAGCGTGTATATTCGTGGATACTTTTTTTCCAACACACGTACATGTACAACACTATTTACAAAAATACTTTTTACATATTTTTCTAGACGATTGACGGCACTAGATCGTTAAAATCTTGTGTTGCGAAGATTACGCTTCGCCATTAGCATATCGCGTTTTCAGCTCCGAAATGTATGAATGCACAACTGCGTGCATTTTGAGATTAATCTCTTTTCGATAATTTGCAGAGGAGAACATCGTATCGAAGAGAAAAGTGGTCTAATGTTACTCGTTAATAGGAACGATGAAACGAGGTCTCGAAGTTGGCACACACAACGCGCAACAACTACGACCGACGACCGCTGAAGGTTTACTGAGAAGCGATTTTACCGGCTGTAGCCGACCGAGAGACAGTTAAGGCTTTCTAACCCGCGTCTCTTTCCCCACCATCACGTGCCCTCGTTATCGTCACGCTCCTGATATTGAAAAATTTACGAAAGGGTCAGGAGTTCGAGCGATTCGTGATACATTACAATTTCAACTATACTAGGGTTGATCAAAGTACAACCTTAGAAAATATAATATTATGTGTATATTAAAATAATAAAAAATGTTGTTATTTCTTATTATCTTTTTATTAATTTGCATCATTTGAAGAATTAAAGTTGCTAGATTATTTGCAGTTTCTTTATAACAGATTCGTTTTGTAAGAAGAAAATAGTTTTTCTCTTTCTATAATTGTTTCTAATGAATTTTTATGAAGCTCCTTATTATGAACGAAATAAAACTGCTTTTTCAGTAACTATGATAACATCTAGTTAGTAATATATTTACGTCTCGTTGCCAATTGCTTATTAATGAAGTGATAATGACAGATAAACGCAGTAGAGGAATTGTAGGAGACCCTGAATTGCTAAATATATTTTTACTAAACGTGACTCATTTTTATTTACCTTCTCCTTACTTCTATTATTGAAAGAACACATTCATTCGTTTTGGCTTGTTTTCACTGTGTCATGTAGCGTACTTTCTCAGTTATCTGCCGCATGATCAGTCATATTTCTTTTGAAGCATGACAATATTGAATAATGCATGATATGTTGTAGATGCTTGTAACCATGGCGAGTTTTTACATCACATGACAACGTATAGTAGCTAACTGCTCTTTACTTTCGCCTGTACTCAGGCTTTACTAGTTCCAACGAACTTTTTGAAGAATAAAAAATTGGACATTTATTAATAGATAACAGAATAAATGTAACGAGACTTTCTTTAAATATCTTTAGCGTTGAAATTTACGGTAACAGAAGCCATTTCAAAACTATCAAAAGAATCTCTCAACGCCGATAACAATAATTCCTCCGAGGAATTTCATGTTAATTGCACTTTATTTATAATTTAGAAATTGCTTTAGAATTTATATTCCTTAATTTCTAATGCGACAGACAAATATGAAATGTTTTAGGTAAAGTTGATGTCATATATGTATATCTTTAATCTAACAATTTCTTTCTATAATTTTTATAGTAATATATATTTTCTATAGGAAATTGTTCTCAAATATTACAAAGGCAACTTATAATAAATAATAGTACTATAATTTATAATTATGTCAAAATAAATATTCTTCCTCACTACCGAGGTGTAATACGATATGTGCGATGGTGGTGTAATGGTCAGCATAGTTGCCTTCCAAGCAGTTGATCCGGGTTCGATTCCCGGCCATCGCACAAAATTTATTTTTCAAAATTTTTTATTGCTATTGTATATTTTGTTTAAACATTTTTTAAACGAACACATTTGTGTGCTTCTCTCGTAATTATGATGTCATTATTATATTTAAAGTTGTTTTACCTGAACATTGTAGCAGTGTCCAGAATTTACCGCCTGCATTATTTCAGTTTCATAAAGATGTTAGCATTACGCTAATAAGATAAGTGACTTTAAAATATAATTTGATTCATTGAGGAGGCTTTTCAATATGACAGCCATATATCCTTCAAAGAATACTCGACAACCCGAAGAGCACTGCTGGTGTAGTGGCATCATGCAAGATTCCCATTCTTGCGACCCGGGTTCGATTCCCGGGCAGTGCAGGTTTCTTTTTTTTTTCTTGCAATTTTGGATATGGAAAAAATTAAGAAGAGATTGATAGGGAGACATCTTTCTGTTAATGAAACTTCCCATTGAATTTTTCTACAGTTTTTAATGTCCTTATATTAATTATTATTAAGCAAATAATATATGATACATTAAATTATTATTAATTTCGTCGTCGAATTTTTGAAGGGAATTAATGACAGAAAAATTAATGAATTTACTCAATAATAATGAATTATTTCTTATGATTATTTTGTATAATGATGATAGTTTTATGATTTTAATTACTAACGATTTATTCATTCAATATATAAAGTTAGCAGCTACAATTTCTCATTTTGTATCTACCTCTCTCTGTCGAGGAGATATATCTTCTTAATAAATTTTGAGATTGTCACGAGAAGGTAGGACTGTATAAATATTACATAACTTTATATTCCCCAAGTGAGTAAAAACTGCGAAAACATTTTATAAGTGAATATTATGTCAATATAATCTGAAGATTATTATCTTTCTAAAAAACTGATATGCATGTACATACATATCTGTTCTTTAGAAATGTATACTTTCAGATAATTGTATTAATTATTTATTGTATTGTGCTTGTTTGTTATAAACATAACTTCTGAATAAGAGCCAGAAATAAAGGTGCGGTAATATAGGCGCGTGAGACTACGTATGCCTTACAATAAGCAGACCTCGCGTTTACGATACCTGGCGGTAGAATGTATAAGAGAATTTCTCGTGCGCATCACCGCTTGGAAAATGATACTTCTACTACGTAGCATCACTACATAATTGGCATCACTGTACTGAACATGAATTTCCAACGATTCCATTCTTTAGCGAACACGGTAATCGTCAAAGAAGAAAAGAAAAGTATTTCTCACGATAAGAGGAACCTCAGTGATAACCCAGTCACACCGAGAAGAACAAACCGATCGCGTGCCAATGCTCGTGCCAAGTGTGGCGTGATTGGTCTGAGATACTGATAGTAATCTCAGGGATTTGTTAAAGGAACAGCTGATAGGGAGATAACGGTTGCATGTTCTATTGCACGTTAGTTTCTTCGTTGAGCTCGAGAATAAAATATTGGGGGGTTTGGGATAGAAATGATGTATAATTACAATTTAGTGTGCGTATTTGCAAGACAATGCAACCATTATCGTCGAGATACTTAAGGATGGAGTAATGCTGCATTTGCAAAACAATAAGATATTTTTAATTCCAGTTGTGCATCAATACATGCCATGTATTATTATACGATATCGGCATGTGTTGCCTCTGTGAAAACAATGAGATACTCGTCTGGAACTTGCAAGTCTACACGTAGTTTAAGATGCCATAACTGAATGTTTTTTTTTCTGAATGATCCGCGTAATTGTCATATTACATACTTGACTATTGCAACAGAAAATAATAACAGTGAGCTTGGTGCAGCCGCGATAAAGTTTCATGAAGAAACTAATTGATCGATACCAATTAAGGTGAGATCAAGATCGTAATTATTAGAAATTGCAAAGAATGAATAATGAATTCAGAGCTTATTTATCCGTAAAACGAATCTTATATTTTTACTTGACATATTTATTTTTATCGAGATGACACGCACTACAGACGATTGGACAAGCAAAAGAACCTTTATTCGATTGAAAATAAAACGATATTCAGTGCCAAGTGCAACATAAAACATTCCCATGCCACATCAATGTGAAACATATATGTATAGTTGTAACAGTGATAAATTGTACATCAGTGTGCGAATTATCAGAGAACGTGTGCATACAAGTTTTCAAAGTGTGTCTGTGTTCAACAGATTTACACAAAGAGGTCGTGGTACACGTAAAGGCATAATGCGTACAAGAACAAGTACAACAGCTAAAGCGCGTCTATGTAAAAATTGATAAAACTTTAGGCTATCAAAAATGTTAAGAGGAATGACAAAGTAATTTTGCCTTCATAATTAAATATGCACAGAAGAAGAAATAAGAGTTGAAGAAATGATTAGCTTCAACCTTCGAATTATCATTGCCCGCTTCTGAATAATGACGAGTTTCCGTGAGAAATTACGTACACGTAACATTAAATGAACTATCATTAAATAAGAATTCGCATTGCGTACCAAATCAAATGGTTAAATAATATTACGGGAAGCGATCAAGATATATTTCTACAGGACATGATTGTACCAACGAAATAACGACGTTCGACAGGGAAAGGATAGTCTTCATGCGGTTTGTGGCAGTTGGCGCTAGCTACAATTTACACTGAACACACTGTATAAAACTGTATTACCTTCGCGGCTCCACCACCTCGGCGTGATCGACCGTTAACTCGGACCGCACGTTGCTTCAAGAAAAAAATGCATTGTTAAAATTCGCTAGTAGCGAACTGAGTAATTATCGTCGTAATAACGTCGTACATATTGTACGACTAGCCAAATTATCGAAGTTCCGTCTGATTAGATATCCCTATCGTTTATGTCCAATAGCGTAAACCAATCAGCATAAATAGCTTCGAAAGGGAGCGTATTGTTAGATGCGAGTATGGCAAGGTCCATTTATGGCCTTGACACAGATCTCCTTTTATGTATTTTTTTGACCGTGGGATTTACGCAATTGTGAATCGAGTATTTGACTTCAATAAAGTAGGTGATCCAAGTATTTGACTTCAATAAAATACGACCCAAGCTTGCTTGAAAAATATCGCTTCTCAAAGGATATTTAAAAAAAAGGTACTGTAATAATAACATGCAGATATTTAGATATTTAATTACCCGGAGATTAATTATTTTATTAAACTTAATTGCAAAATTATTATTATATTAATTATCAATCAGCTTAATACACGCTGAGTAAGAATGGGATACGCGTCCTTGACTTTTGGTGTAATCTAGATTACTCTAGATAGAGCTTTATGCTTCGTTCGCTTATAAAATTAGCCCACTTCGCCGCGAGCATTCCAATTAGTTAACATGGAAATTTTGTATTTCGCACGTATTCCCCAAATTTTAAATGAACGGAAATTCGTGGTACTGTAGAAAACCACAGAACTTCCAATGTCGCATGAATCATTCGCATTAACAATGCGAAAAGTATGACAATTGGTTAACAAAATTTTTTTACATTGGCGTCGCTAACATTTTTTTTTTAATTCTGTCAACCAACGAATAACTTTTTGAAGATAAAACGCATTTGCAGACTGTAATTTTACTTAAATTTAAATACATACAAATCGCAGCTGAAACTCGAATGGTGTCCAACAGAGGTCAAGGATGGTCTTA